ACTTGGATCCTGGTCTGCTGGGGAAGAGAAATGTTAAGCTTTCAGGGTCCGCTTGCCCAGTACCTTTCACATTTGCTCTGGTCTCGATGTGGCTCAGATCTGCAGCCACTCCGGGTGTGTGAGCAATGTCGTAGAGGGTCAGGCGGCTCACCAAGGGGCTATTCTTCAGCAGAAGGGAAAGGGGCTGCCCAATTCCTCCCGAAGCTCCGAGCACTGCTACCTTTGCATTGTTCTAAGACAGGCACAGAGAAAGATGGAATCAGCATTGAAAGGATTCATGTGGCAGCCTGCAAATACTGCACAGGGCCCCTTTATTGCACTGGCGTCAAAGGAAAACACAACTGCTACATTCCTACCAGTCCAGCTTACTTTCGAAAGTCTAGAAGCCTGCTAAGGAAGAAGGGAAGTGATGGCTATCGGTGGTGTCACAGAGAGGGTCATACTCCAAGATAATTAGCTTATTCAGACAACTGGGATGGCAACATCAACCTAACCTTCAATTTGCAACTTAAAGAACAATAAACATTTACTTAACACCTACCAACAGTTGGGTCATTGTATTTGTGGTTATAGAAAAGACCTCTGCCAGCTCTGGAGGGGACAAGGAACAAGTTGTATGAGCAGCTAAGAGAAAAGGGCTGTAACAGAAGTACTATGTGCAGGACAGCAGTGGGGGAAGAGACACCAGGAAGATCTTATCGGGACAGGCAGCATAATCTCTGCTAGAGGCCTAGCAAGATTAGGAGGATGTGCATTAAATTAGGAGGATGTGCATTTTGCAAGGGCTCCTTTTATCAAGGAGGCCAGACCTGCAGTTTCAGGAACCTCCATCCACTGGTGTGTTAAGTTACCTGCTGGGCTATCAGACCACAGAGGGCCAAACTCCTTTAAGTAGGATGGGGCTTAGCTTTAGCATGTTTACTAAGTACCCCAGGTGATTCTGACACTGGTCATTTTAACAGTCACTCTAGCTCATCACCAAGCAAAGTAAGACAAGTAGCATTTGGTCCCGGCATGTTGGCTGGGAAATTGAAGAAGAGATACTTTAGCAAAATCACTAGACTAAGGTTAAAAGACTTGATGACTTTCAATAGCCACTTCAGAGTTAAATATATTTAACAACTGCCATCACTTAATCCCATCCATGTGGAAAAAAAAAAAACTTTATTGAAATATATGTCCCAGACCACTAAAATGTATACGCTGATGGTTCTCAGTATATTCCAGCTGGTCACCCATCACTCCACAAAGAAACCCATGGCCACTAAAAGCCATTCCTTTTCCCTTGCAATCGGCAGCATCTTCTAACCTACTCCCCCTCTATGACCTACCCTGGACATGTACCATACACATGAAGCATTCAAATGTGGCCTTTCCAGTTGGCTTCTCTCACTTAGAAATAAATATCCATCCATGTTGCAGTATGTATCTATGTTATTGCATGAACAATGTTCCACTGTATAAATCACATTTTGTTCACTCATCCATCAGTTGAAGGACATTTTGTTTCTACCATTTAGAGAGTGCTGTTAAATATTCATGTGCAAGTTTTTGTGTGGAGAAAAACCTGTCCTGGGTATAAACTGAAGTGTAGAACTGATGAGTCATGTGGTAATTCCATGTTTAACTTTTTGAGAAACTGCCACATTACTCCAAAGTGGCTGCCTAGAAGACATCCCTTAAAGCTCACTCACCTACAATTCAACAGGTACCTATTTCCTACCCGCCACATACCAAACTGACTTTCTAGCACCAATGACAAAAAGCTTTAAATTTAATGTGACAAGTGCCACAGGAGCAGAGTACAAAGGAGAGAATAAACTGTTGGGGGGGGGTAGGGAGAGGTGCGTTCGAAGGATGGATGCTGTAGGGAGGAGCGGTGAAGTATGGTCCCAGAAGGGAAGCTGTCTTCTGTGCCTTGAGCACTGCTGGCATCTGAAACCACCAACTGCCACTGATTTCCATTTCTGCCCCATTAACTGACAACACTGCCTTTAAGCAACAGAGACTGAGGAGGGCAAAAGGTTTGGGAGCAGTAAGTGCAAAGCACTGGAAATATTCAGACACATGAACGTGAGAATTAAATGAGAACATACTTCACTTAGAGCATACCATACAAAAGGTATTACTGTGTAATAAATTGTTCCTCCCAAAAGTCATCAAGAAGCAGTCTTTAAGCAGCAGACCTCTCCTGTCTTACATGCTACTTCTCTTAGCACTGCATTTCAATAAATACACATTTTGTGTTCTCCAAAATAGAATGCAATCTTTAAATTAGTTGTTTAAAATGGGTGGGGTAGGGTGGGGATGACCCTATATCATCAGCCTTCAGACTCCACCCTCCTCTCTTAATACTGGTGTTTAAGGTTGTCCCTACTGTGCTTCTCTGTTTATGCTTTATCCTTGTGCCTGGCTTCCATTAATCCCAGTGCAAACTATTTTGATCTCCAGGGCTATGGTTGCAATGTGGGAGGCATAAGACAATCACATTGGGATGCAGATGAAAATGTTAAATTTTCATGAATGTCAACATTTATGTTATTAGTTTTTTTTTTTTTAAATGTATTTATTCATACAGAACTGGGGTTTAGGCCAGAGGTGCAGGGGCGGCAAGAGGCTTCACCAGAGACAGGGTGGGGATCAGAACAGGCAGATCTATTAAGTACACTGCTGAGGGGAGCAGCAGGCGGGTCAGGAGAGGTCTGCCACGCCATGTGGTCACCTCCCATGTGGTCACCTCCGGGGCAGGCAGGGATCGAACTCATGCGGAAGTAGCTTAAGCTTATTAGTGCAGTGCTTTAACCCGCTGCGCCACCAGGGAGGGCCAGTTTTGTTTTGTTTTGTTTTTTAACCGCTAGCAATAAATAGAATCTAGTGAGAAACAGACTGACCTAGGGCCTTCACTAGGGTCCTTAAGTGGATCAGTTCCATGATACCTAAGATGATACTTGCTCATTCTGATGCTCAGAATTGAGCACTTAAGTGATACTGTTTGTATGAAAGCCCATCAACTTATTTATTTACAAAACAAGCCTCTTAAGTATGCAATCTTTATAATGAAATAAGACACTTTAGTTATTTCAAATGTTAGGTCCTAATCGTAGTTAGAGCTAAACCTGCTGCCCCTTTCCAAGGTGAAAAGCAGTTAACAGTACACTGCAACTGTTTTGAAATGGATGTATAGTAACATACCCTTCTTTACAAGTTTATTTTATAATGCATACCCACTGGAGCTTTATAAGTGCTGTATTTTTGTACATTGAGAAATAAACTGAGGGCTGTGTATACTCAAAAAATTTCATGTTTCGCACTTAAAGAACTTCCTCCTCCAACTATCTATCCAGCAGGCATTTTGAACCTGAGCTCTTTAGCTATCTTTTCCTTCCCAGCAAACTCAACTAAAAAGTCTCCATACTTGGGGTGATTTGGTGATGGGAAACCCGTGGGGATTACAATTGAGATGAAAAAAAAATGTGCAAAATGATGTAAAAATAAACTTTTTAATAAAAAAAAAATAGGAGTCAAAAAAAAAAAAAGTCTCCATACTCATCTTTTTCTCATAAACCTCATCAAACCATGGGTCAACAAATCCTGTTGTCTTCTCTTTGGTCAGTTCCTTTCCCTCCCTCTCTTCATCATCAATCTTTTATCTTCTCCCCTTGTCCTATGTATACTCCTTTCTGGCCCATCTCAAGTGCAATTTCTCACTAGTACTCCAGGCACCACCCACCACTATTCTTGGCAAGCGAGGACACCCAATGTACTTATCTGTATATTTATTTTTCAAATGATCTTAACACAGCAGGAAACTGAAGGGCAGTTATTTAGGTGTCAAGAAAACTGGATCTCTTTCAAGAATCACCTTCCTTTTGTGTGTGGTATTTGAGGCAATGTGGTACCTCTTGGATTCTCAGTTTTGCTTGTATTAGAATCAAGTGATGTAAAAAAAAAAAAAAAAAAAAGAGGTCCAGGTTCTTTAATGAGTTTGGGCCTCTATGCATTAGCTTTCAGGTGATTCTGACACACATCGGAGGTTGAGAACCACCGTTTAAGATGATGGCTAAAAATAGCTTAGGTTTAAGTAACTCGAGGCCAAGTCTCAGAGTCAAGACACTTGGGGGAAGGCCCACCCCACCCACATCAGAAAGGATTCACCAAAAGCCTTTGGGTGGGTGCAGTGTTCATGTTGTCAGAAAGAAGGCATGGTGATCCAAAAGTCGCTGACCATGGTCAGGAGATCAAAATTTTAATCCTATGCCAAATGATTGTGTAACCTTGGACCACTTTTTTTCCCTCGGCACGTCGGCTTGTCTGTACTATGGAGTTAATAATTACACATTATTTGTATGGATGCTGCAAGAACTAGGTTAGTCAAATAACTATGGGAAGTTGCATAAAATTGTAAAAATTTCGGCGCCAATCTCCGGCCTCTCAATCTTGAAGGAGAGCAGGCCCTACCGGGGTGGGGGAGGGGGTGTCTGCGCGGTGCGTCAGTCCAGGAACTAGGCTACCTTCTTCTCAATCCCGGTTTTCTCCCTTGCCCTTCCTGGCCGGTACCAGGACCGGCCCAGAGCCGCGGGCCAGGACCAGGCCACGATGGCCTGGGGGCCAGGGCTCTTCCGGAGCCAGGAACGCACGTGGCCCGGACCAGGGCTACGGGTACCCTCTGGCTATAGGCAGCCCCTCGTCGGGCCTACCTGGGCGGAGGTGCTGAAGCTGCGGCGGAGAGCAGCGCCAGCAGGCCGGGCGAGGGCGGAGAACATGGCTGGAGCGGGCGGGGCACGACTCGGCCGGCGAAGGAGCTGGCAGCTGGTAAATGACTCCAACGACCTCCACACCGCACAGGCCCTCCGGCCGCCGCACAGCCTGACCTCGCGAGAATGGGCCGGCTTCCGGCCCCGCCCCACCGGCGGTTCTCGCGGTGATTCGCCACTTCCGGGCTGTTTGGGAGGCGGGGCCAAGGGCGCTTCCGGCACCGCTGAGGCGCTGTCTGAGCGGCCTGAAGCAGGTTCTGGAGTACGGTCCTTCCCGCGTGGGAGACGCAGTGAGGGAGAGCCCGCACCCGAGAGGTGGGAGAGGACGGGCTTTAGGCTGGAAGAGCCTTAGAGGAGCCGTTTTTCCAGGTGGGGCCCACTGCAGAGCCTCTGACAGGGAGACCCGCCGAGGTAGCGCGGCAGGCCGGCTATCGCGTCCTGAGCCCCTGACCTCAGCCACACCCACCCCTACTGCTCCTGGAGGCGGGAAGGGCCTCCCGGTTCATGAAAGAAAATGGGGAGAGAGGAGGTTGAGAGTCCGGGGGGGACGGTGAGAGGATGGGGGCCTCTCTAATGAGTCACCCTCTCTCCGTATCCACCCGTCATTGCCATCGACCTTCACGGTGCACAGGCCCTTCCCTTACAGTTTGCAGAGGTTTAGAGATCCCACAACTGAGGAGACTGACGCTGAGAACAGCACCAGGCACTGACGGAACCTGCCTGGAACAGTGACTGGGGAAACAGGTGAAACTGCCAGGACACGAGAAGACAAGTCAACACAACGGAGGTGCACGGCGACTGGCTTACTACTCATCCCTCCCTCCCTTCCACTTGTTTAGTCAGCTACCAGCCCTAACTTGGAGCTGACTACTTAGTGAACAAAACACCCACATTTTCTGCCTTCAAGGAGTTCAGTCAGTCTGGTGGCGGTGACAGGTCATCTGCAAGTAGCATGATATGGGTAACCTAGGAGAATTATGAAGTGCAGTGGGATCCCCGGAGGAAGGGGATGCTGGGTCAGAATGGGGCCATGTGAAAAGGATCTCCAGTGGATAAAATATCTAAACTGGGAAGTGCAGAAAGAGTAGGTGTTCTTTAGTGAGACCATTCAACACCAAGGAGAGAGGTTTGCTTGCCTGGGTGTGGGTGTTCGCAAAGTAGGGACACTACGAACTGGACCTTAAACAACACAGTGTTTTTTGTTTGTTTGTTTTTCCTTTGAATATTTCTTTATTACTACATTTAAATACTCTCTTTAAATACAGCATAATCATAATGTAAGGACCTAAAAGGAAAACAAAAATTGTTTTCAGAGAGAACCAGACAAGCTTTGGATTCATATTGAAAATACTACCTGTGTACAGTATGTGAGAAAGGAGACTGGCAGCAGTGAGCTGCAGCACAGCTCACTGAAACACTGTCCCAAGAAAAATCCAAAGATTGGAAAACCTTCGCCTTTATTCAAATGTTTGTTGGCATGAGGGTATGAGCACAAGCAGCGTTCCTTTTATCTTATCATTGGTTGTATTCTCTGGTTAATTATTTACCCTCTTACAGCTTAGCCACTAGCGCTGACAGCATCCTGCTTCAGGCATGTCTTTCATCTGTGTGTCTTCGTCTGGCACAGAACCAGCCTGAGAGTGGGTCTCTGAATTTTGGGACAGTTGAATGGCTTTAGATAAGGCTGAAAAAGCCTTATCTTGTACAGGACCTATTTATATTGGCTGAGAAGTTTGAATTTTGCTTCTTGGGGAGCCAGTGTTTGTCAGAGGTTTTTATGATACCACCAGAACTGTGTTGGAGGATGATTAGAGTGACCCTGACCTGCTAAGGGGAACGTGGGGATGGACAGGGAGATTGCTTAGGGGGCTAGTTTGTGAGATGATAAAGAAATGAGTTATGATTGTGGCCATTAAAAAATGGAAAGGGGGGCTAATGAGTAAAGAGTTTGTGCCCATCTTGTTATAAGAAATAAATGAAAGGGATTATGGAAAGTCATGTTGAGTGACATATACATCTACTGAAACAGCACTTAGGGGTTGTGTGGTCAGAGAGCTGGCTGAAGAAAATAACTAAAGAGCTCAGTTTTAGATGGACTGAATTGGAGGTGATGGTGAATCACCCACATGGGAATTTCAGTGGAGTGTTGAGGAGTCATTCCAAGACGAATGTGGAATTGAAATCCAGAGAGGCCAGAGCTGAGATTATCCCTATGGAGGGAAGCATTGAGGTAACAGAGAGAAACCCAAAATTAAAACCACAGATTCTCAAGTTCACTCCCTTATCTGGGACTCAGTCCCATCCACATCCCCATCAAGTCAGTGAACCCCTGACAACCTCTCCAATACAAGGAGCCCACTACCTCCCAAGTCTCCTAGTCAGGCCATCCCAAACAGCTCGGCTGAAGAAAAGCACATTTGGTCCCTAGTTGCTTCCCTTTAAATCCCAAGCCTCACCATCTGCTCTGTCAAGTGTTGCCTGTGCCAGGCACTGTGTTCCCTCCTTTGCATGCATAACTTACACTGGACTTGCGGGGTAACAGTCAAGAATCAGAGCAGTCAAAAACAGCTTTGTGTTTATCCCCACCTTTTCTTTAAATCTTCCCTTGCCCCCTAGATCACATCTAGTCTCCAGTAGAGACTCATTGCTGTAGCAGTTCACATTAATAGTTAAAACTCAGAACTTAAAGCTTCTGTCTTTCTCGCTCAGCTTCCTTTAGACTCCCACCTTTGGAGAAGTGGTGGTTGCTTTCTCTGTTTCCCAATCTTGCTCCCACCCCTATGCTAACTGCTGGATTGGGGCGGGGACGGGGGGTTGGGGGGGTTTGTAACAGTAGAAATAGGAGCAAGAAAGGTTCCATAGTCGTCTGGTGTTAATATTCTCTGTTGGGAGTTTGTAACCTAGTCTTCTTTATGTGTTGCTTTTGTGAGTCTCTTTCATCTGCAGTTTCCTTGAGTTTGGAGGCTACCAACCTCTCATTTTTTCTACTTTCAGTTGCTACCTTAGCATTTGGTTTCTGGATTCTCTGGTATCAGTGATTGGCCCATTATTCCTCCAGGTAGCCCTCTTGGGCAAAGTTCCTTTTAAGATACATTCTAATAGGCCCTTTCCCCTGCTTGGCCTATTTCTGTCATTGTTGCCTCAGCAATTCTGGGGGTGCAAGCCTTTTCAAATGTAGTTGCCTCACCTTGTTTTGCTAATGGCTATCCAGCTTCCGGCTTCTCCAGGCTGAGGCCCAGCAGCAGCTATGCCTGTAAAAGCTGCAGAAGACACAGGCTAACCTAAGGGTTTTTTTTTCTGATTTCATTAATCAGAAATGTGAAGAAACTGAAACTTGAATGTTGGACGTCAGAAAGATGCTAATTATAGAGTGAGAACTTTGAGACTGCTGAAAAGAGAGAGAGAGATTAGGTGAGAGAGGATAAGACCAGAGGGTTCTTATCCCACTGTCTTTGAGGTGAAGCTCAGAAGGTACTCAAGGAGTAGATAGTGGGGAGAGCAGTTCATACCCAGTGGACGTAGCCTTCCCAGGGAAGAACTAGAAAATGAGACAAGTTGTTCCATGGGGGACCAAGGATGGTTGAATCCTGTAGTAAGAAAGGCTGGCAGGTGTAGAGGGAGCCTAATTGAATTTCTGCACTGTGTACCTACATGTGCCCAAGTCCACGTAGTTTCCTACAGCTCAGAGTGAAGTCATGGACACACAGCACCTGCATATTTACATATCTGAACACAAACTTAGATCTACATGGGGGAAGAAGGGAGATTTTTACATTTTAGTGGCATATAGTTTACTTCACACAAAAAGCATACAGATCTTAAGTGTTCAGTTGGATGGTTTTGATGAGTTACACCTTATAAAAATTACCCCAAACAAGCTGTTAAACATTCTCATTCCATGCTCATGCTCCTTTCCAGTCTCCCAAAAGAGCTACTTCCTGGTTTCTGTTACCAGAGATTCATTTTATCATTTTCTGTTGTACCTGTTAATACTGTATAGGTATATTGCCACACCCCACACATAACATAAGCCACACTCATCTGTCCGTGAATACTAACCATTTTGTACCTTGTGATAGCCTTAAACACAGTCATGGGCCATATAATTTTTGCTCTGAAGTGCAAATAATTAAAATCATACCTTATTTTAAGTCTTTCAGATCCTTGGAGCTAAAATGAAGAGTTAGAATTGTAATCACTCCACCTTTTGCAGGAGTTAATTTTCCTCTAGATGCTCTAGGAAATTGGAACATAGAGACATATATTTTAATACAGACCTGTGCTTAGATAAATAATTTGTAGTTATGGCTCATACTTGCTGGAAGTTAAAGGATTTATCTCTCTTAAGATATATTCAAATGGAATAACAAGAAGGCAGAGGTGGCGAGAAGCTCCCAAAACCTGTGAGTCATCTGGTGACAAATTTGGACCAGGAACAGTCTTCAGTCCTCCAGGTCCACCATATGTCAGGGAAGTGAGAGCAAGCCAAGTCCAGGGCCCAGGACCTGTATCCGGAGCACAACGTCAGGCCTGTGCCCATTGAGGAGGAGCCAGCTCTGTAGACAGTTGTGGGAGGTGAGACCAGGTGTGGTAGCCACTGCCTTGGGGAAACAGTGCATTTTGCCAGTCCTGGTAGCTGAGTTGCTGTCACCCTCACACGGGGTACCTCTCAGGGATATACTGGCCTAGTTTGGGATATGGTGTGAAAGCAGGATAGACGATGAAGGACGAGGATGTGGGCAGCTGGGTCTGGGCCTGTGACTATACCTTATTGCTTCCCAAATGTAGTGCTATTGGTGATGATTAACAGTAGGACCTGGTGCCCCCTCCCCCTCAACTTGAGGACAATTTCAGGACCACATTTGTAGCCTCAGCATTTTGGGGATGCTGTGGTCTGGCACTCTATTCCTATAGCTTTGTCAAAGTTCATACCACAAAGAACCTGAATGAAATGGAGGAAAAATTGTCCCACATCCCTTCAGATCAGAAATAATCAACACAATTGAAACTTAATAGCAATCGAAAGCAAACTCAGTCAAATGTGGTATGATAAAAAAATATGGTTAAGGAGTCAAATTTTTATCATAACATTCACATAGAAAAAAAGACTTGCTCTCAGAAAAACAATTTTGGCTAAACAAAATTGAAAGTGATAAAAAATTGGACTTGGTGGTGACTGGACATTTGGTGGTAGATACGGACTGATTATACAGTTAATAAGGTGAGAGACTATATTTGAGACCTATGTAGTCTTATAACCTAAAATTAACTTAAAAATTGAAAAAATTGAAATTGGTAAACTGAATTATAGAAAACCAATTAAGAGCTTAAATTGGCTTAATGGGATTCACTAAGAAGAATACTTTTGGCCAAACTTATCAATATTAATTTTTTTAAGATTTATTTATTTATTCATATGTAACTGGGGTACAGGCCAGAGATGTGGAGGGTGAGAGGATTCACCAGAGAGTGGGGAGCAGAACAGGCAGATTGATGTACACTGCTGAGGGGAGCAGCGGGCGGGTCACGAGAGGATTCCACACCGTGTGGATCTCCTCTGGGGCAGGCAGGAATTGAACTCATGCAGAAATGGCTTTCGCTTCTTAGTGCTGCGTTTTAACCTGTTGCACCACCAGGGAGGGCCTCAATATTAATTTTATGTAAAAGTTGAGCATCAAAATATTCTGAGATCCCAATTTGTCCTCAGACAATTGGGGACATCTTTAGAGTTCGGTGTAGTTCAGAAAGGGATGTTGCCAGCGCTTTGACCTCTACCCTTCGAGGCCAGCAGTGCCCCCGAACTTGGCTCCAGGGCTGTGTGCTCAGACTGTGCTGGTCAGTGCACAGTCCCTGACCCTCACAGGCAGCAGGTAGTTCTTGTTTGACCAGGACAATGTCTCCTTTTGGGAGGAGAAAAGTCTGAAGAAGGAAATCCCTGGGGCTGGGTTTTTCCTCTAGATTCTCAGAGAGAATGTCTTGGCTAGGTGTAAAGAAGAGATGGCAGGAATGATGAGATGGGCGGGCTTGGAGATGTTAGATTAGGAAGCAGCTTTGAGGTTGGCTTCAGGAAACTGGAACTAGACAGTTCTTTTTCCTATATTCACTGCTTCCAAGATAGCCTGCGGACAGAGCTTGCGGCAGGGAACCTGGACTTGTGTGGTTGTGGAGGCTGGGAGGTCCTTAGGGGGAATCTGCATGTGGCATCCATACATTACGGCATCAGGTCAAGGCGGTCCCATTGGCCGGTGACTAAAGATAGTTTATTTATTCCACATAAGCTTATTGAGCATTACTTTGCACCCTAAGTTCTGGGTATTGGGTGACACGGGTATTAGTGAGTAAGAAGGCCAAGGTCCTATCCTTATGAGACATACATTTCAGTGGGAGTGAGTGAAGATAAAGTAAGCAAACAAATGAGCCTGATAATGTGAGATAATGACAAGTAAGGTCGTGATAAACTCATTTTGAAAAGATTACCCTGACTGAAGATTATATTAGAGTTTAGGGAGAAAACAAGAAGCAAGATGTGTTGTGTCACCAAAGGGGAAGGGTGGGGAAAGAGAAGTGACAGGATTTGGAATATATTAGCACTAATAGATTGCATGTGAGGAGCTGAGGGAAAGAAAAAACAGGGATTTGTACTTGAGTAACTAAGTGGGTAATGGTGCTGTTCATTCATTAAGATGAAAAAATAAACAGGTGTTGGTATGAGTGTGTGAGAGTGAAGCATTCTTTCAGCCATGCCCTACTTGAGGTGCCTGTCAGACATCCACATAGAGTCTGGATGCTCAGTGTCTGGTCACACAGAGCTTTCAGATAGGGATGCATTGGTATTCAGTGGACTGGATGAGTTGCCTAGACTCTAGTCTCAGAGCCTGGTTCTCAGCTAGCCATGATTTTGCAGCTTCTGCTCTGGAAGAAGTTATTATAATGGTGGGGTTGCTGCTGACCTTTACTGGGTGGAGGTCCAGATGCTACTAAATACCCTACAGTGCACACGTCAGGCCCCCAGTGCAAAGAGTAATTGGCAAGGATGCTGACCCTCACCTGCAGTGAGATACAGAAAAGAGATGACTATGACCCAGAACGTTGTGAAAAAGTAGAACCTCTCACAAAGAAGAAAGGTCTGAAGGGAGGAGATGGAGGGGAGGGTCTGTCCTTGAGGCCAGCAGAAGCTGAGAAGTGAAGGAGCAAGGAGAGGAGAAAGGAGAAAGAGTGCCCCCTTGTGTTAAATGCTGAGAGGCTCCATCATTTGAACAGACGGGACTAATGGGATAGGCAAAATGGGTACTTTTGATGGCTTTGATTTGATTTTTTTGGGTTTCTATGGTTTGTTGGGGTTTGAAGGTCCCAGGAGAAAGTTTGTACCAATAGCCAATACTGAACATTTTTTCCCTGCTCAGAATGTCTTACATGTATAATTTCATTAATCCACACACAACAGACAGATACTGTTACCCTCATTTTACAGGAGTGGCAATACTATTATTACCTCCATTTTACAGAGGTGGAAAATTGCTGAGGCACAGAGAGACTAATTACTCCCTGAGATGAGGCAGCCAAGAGTAAGTGGCAGAGCTGAAATTCAGGCCTAGAGACCTCTGAATTGAGTCTGCATTATTGAAGGGGAGGCATTGCATGGACACCACCTTTTTGAGAAGTCTTGCTGTAGAGGAGAACAAAGGCCAGTTCAGAGGATGCGTGTGGATGGGAATGTTCCACGCGGAGGTTGAACTTGATGATAATATTGGGGAGTCTGAGAAGCCAAGTCTTTGGGGAAGTAGGAAGCATCTCTGAAGTGGACCCAACTGTTTTGATCAAGATTTCTCCTGGACTCAGTCTGACCCCTGCTGTCCTTCAGAGGCCTGCTGGCTACCCTGCAGGAGGCTGCAGCAGAGGCCTAGCCCTTACTCCTCTGTGTCCCTGGGGCACTAGAGGTAGTTGTGCCCAGGAACCAGTGCCAAGTGCAGTCCTGTAATCAGGAGCCAGAGTGCAGGCTGGCTCGGCAGTTCTATTAGTGCACATTAGAGATTCTCCACCCAAAGCTGGCTTTCATGGTCCTTAACATAGCCTGTAAAGCCCCCACTAGGGGACTTGGGCAGCTTCCCCAGGGGCTTCACTCATTTTTTCACCCAGTTTTAGCCAAGCAGATTTCTTTGAACTCCCCTGTGCTCCCTCCTGCTCCCAGACATGTTACCTTCATTTTCCTCCCTCCTCACCTGTCTAAGCTATTTGCCTAACTTTCTGTCTCAGTTTAGTTCTTCTCCCCCGCAACTTGGTGAGGCCTTCCCGTTGTTAGTTTCTCTGGCATTTGGATGCTGGCTCTCTTATTGTCCTTTTCTTACTTATATTTTTTGTACAGTGTCTGTTATATTGTAGCCTTTGTGAAGTGGGCCATACTTGCTACAGTTATTTCTAGTACCTGGCATCTGGTCGGTGCTCAGTAATTATTTACAAATTAATTGGTGGCTTTCATAGCCTATTTGGCACTAATATGACTTAGTTATATTGTGCTCAGTGTTTTACTCTCCTCTATGTGCATCTCACTATACATACTATAAGTGAGCTTTCCTGTTCCCTTACATGACTTTGTCTTTTCTTTAAGGTATACAGAGTGTACATCAGTATCTTACTTTGTGTCCAATAACAGAAACCGGAGAGAGATGTTCTAAGCCTGTACATTGTTGATTTTTCCCAATAGGATGGCTGGTTTGGTTTTGTGTGAGCCAACTGAGCTTTACAACATCCTGAATCAGGTTACCAAACTATCCAGATTAACTGAACCCAACTATCTCTGTTTATTGGGTAAGTTCTTAAAAAACTGGGTAAGTAAACAGTGTCCTTCACACAAACTTTTGAGGCTAGGAGAACTACATGACTTTAGAAAACTGTTAGACTCCTTAGGCATAGCTCAAAATACTGCTACTAACTGTAATGTGAGTTGGAAATCATCTCTGATTAAATCTAGAGGAGTACCTCCTGGAAGACTCCAGTTCTGAATCTTCTTGTTTTCGAGAAATATTTTAAACATCCAACAATCGTACAGTAATATCAATAAACACTGATGTCTCTACCACTCAGATTTAAAATAATAAAGTGTTATCCAAGGGGATGTACTACCCTTTTTTTGTTCCCCATCCTGATCCTGTTCCTTTCCCTCCCCCAAAATGACCGCTACCCTTCTACATGCGGGCATCCTGAGATAATGTGTGGTTTAAACATTTTTACAGATAGTACCATAATGTACGGTCTTTCTGCAAGTAGCTTTTTTGCCTTAAAATTTTATTTTTGAGATTCATCCTATCTGGAAGATCTAGCATATTTGTCCTAACTGCTGGTTGACATGTGTGTCTATTTCTCATGGATTGATTTGAGGTGCTTGCATTGTGGTGTTCTGAGCAGTACTGCAACCAACAAGTTTGTGCATCTCTCCTTTTTCATGGAGGAGAGTGTCTTCGGGATATATACCTAGAAATTTAATTGCCTAATTACAGATTCAGCTTCACTATATTATTGTGAAATCTCCCCCCAAGACATTGTATCAAGTGCTTTCCCATCAGCAGTGTAAGAAAGGTACTTTCTGGTTTTGTCAGCTTTTAACATTTTGCAGTTGGGTTGGTATAAACTTGTAATTATGACTTTATCCTCACTTTTGAAAATTGTAATGAAATAAACACATTTCCCATCTTAACTGTTTTGAAGTGCACAGGTCAGTAGTATTAAACTAGTTGAAACCTGTCCTTTCCCCATTCAGTGGCTTTAGCACCCTTGTCAAATCACTTGACCATTATGTCAGAGTGTATTTCTGAGATTTCCATTCTTTATTTTTTAATGTTTTAATAATTTACTTATATATTTTTTATGTCACTGTTCATGTTTTTTACATTGCTTACTTTCTTTTCTCAGGTGTGGTCCCCATAGAATTTCCATCACCAATTCCCCCCTGCACCATCATCATAGTCCCTTGTGCTCTTCCTGCCCTCCCCCTCCCCTGTTGGATGTCTCTAATTTATAGTTGTCTGCTTATTTTGTTGTGTTTTTCATTTTTATTTCTTTCCCTGACCCCTTATTTGGTTCCCCTATATTCCTCCTATAAGTGAAACCATCCAATATTTTTCTTTTTCTTCCTATTTTATTTCCCTGAGCATAATACCTTTTAAACTCCACCCATGTTGCAGCAAATGACATTAGTTTCTTTTTTATTTGCCAAATAGTACTTCATTGTGAGTCTATACCACATTTTCTTGATCCAGTTGTCTTTTTTGGGGCATTTGGGTTGGTTCCAAGTCTTACCTATTATGAATAGTCCTGCAGTAAAGATAGGGATGCAGGTATCCTTTTGAATTAATGTTTTTGGGGCCCTCCCTGGTGGTGCAGTGGGGTAAGGATGGCTAGCCACTTCAGTGCGAGTTTGATTCCCGGCCCCAGAGGTGATCCCCATGGCGTGGCCCACTGCTCCCCTCTGCAGTGTACTTCGTCAGTCGGCCTGTTCTGCTCCCCACTCTGTCTCTGGTGAGTCTTCTCACTGCCCCTGCACCTCTGGCTTGTACCCCAGTTCTGTATGCATAAATAAATAAATCTTAGAAAAACAAACAAAAAAAAAGAATTGATGTTTTTGTGTCCTTTGGGTTGATATGACTCAGCAATTCCACCCCTGAGATTTCTATTCTATCCTCATTGGTCTAAATGTTTGTCTTTATGCTAGTATCATACTAGCATGTGATTACTGTAGTTGTATAGTAAGTTTTGAAGTCAGAAGCTGTGAGTCCTTCAACTTAGTTTTTTTTTGTTCTTTTTCAGAATGGTTTTGATATTCACAGTTTCTTGATATTTCATATGAATTTCAGGATATGTTTTACTTCTGCAAAAAAATAAAAAATAAAAATTTGGATAGATTTCATGGAATCTGTAGAATGTTTTGGGTAGTACTGACATCTCAACAATATTGAGTTTCCTAGAAAGGAATGTTCCAGGGACAGGACAGGAAATGTTCCATTTTATTTGTCTTTTCAGCAACATTTTTTAGATTTCACCATATAAGTCTTAAATTCTTGGTTTAGTTGGTTCTTAAGCATTTTTATTCTCTTTGATACTATTATAAATTATTTTCTTAATTTCCTTTTTAGAAGATTTTGCGAGTGTATCCAGGTGCCAGTGATCTCGTGTGTTGACATTGTACCCGATAGCTCACAATGCCATGCGTAGTTTTAATTGTTTTTCAACCATGTAAACAACTTTTCTGACTTCTTTTTTTAAAGATTTATTTATTCATACAGAATTGGGCTACAGGCCAGAGATGCGGAGGGTGAGAGGATTCACCAGGAACAGAGTGGGGAGCAGAACAGGCAGATCGACGAAGTACACTGCTGAGGGGAGCAGCGGGCGGGTCAAGAGAGGTCTGCCGCCATGTGGTCCCATCTGGGGCAGGCGGGGATTGGACTCATGAGGAATTGGCTTAAGCTTCTTAGTGCAGTGCTTTAACCCGCTGCGCCACCAGGGAGGGCCACTTTTCTGACTTCTTTTGCTCAAGAGTATACTAAAATTCATTCAGGTCCTCCCTGGTGGCACAACAGGTTAACATGCAGCATAGCAAGTGAGCAGCAGCCATTTCAGTGCAAGTTAGATCCCAGCCCTGAGGTGATCCACATGGTGCAGCAGACCTCTCCTGTCTTGCCTGCTGCTCCCCTCAGCAGTGTACTTCATCGATCTGCATGTTCTGCTCCTCATTCTGTCGCTGGTGAATGCTCTTACTGCCCCTGAACCTGTTACCTGTACCCCAGTTTGTATGCATAAATAAATCTTTAAAAAAATGCATGTTGTTGAATGTAGCTGTTCTGCAGTTTAATTGTTGTTGCTAAATGGTGTCAAGGAAAAGCAGTGCCAGATATGAGTTAGAGTCTTAGTGATGGACTTGTGGTACACTGTCCCAAAGTAGCTATACTGTTTTGCAACGAACAGAGTTCCTGTTGCTCCACTTCCTCCCATTTGGTGTTGTCAGTGTTTTGGGTTTTTGGCATCCTACTAGGTATATCGTGGTATTTCACTTTGTCTTAATTTGTAATTCCCTAATGATATGTGATGTTGAACAACTCTTTATATCGTTGGCCATCTGTATATTGTCTTTGGTAAGGTGTCTGTTCATCTCTGATGAGGTTTTTATTCTTATCTTTTTTGCCCATTTAAAAATCTGCCCATTTATTTTCTTATTGCTGAATTTTAAGAATTCTTTGTATATTTTGAATAAAAGTTATTTTAGGACTTTTTATGTATAAGTCTTTCTCTCTTCTCAATGCTTCTTCCAATTTTCAGAAATAGCAACACCCCAACTTCTGTTCTACCTGAGGCATTAGAGTCTTAGCTCCTACGTTATAGAATCTGAATTTGGTTCTGAAATTCCTTGGGGGTTTAGTATGATCTCACTCTGCCGCTGATTTCCCCCCTTCCTGCTGTTTAGCTCTCAGAGAAAATGGCTCCCTAAATCAAAGATCAAAGTCTCGCTACCTCTGGGAGGATTGTGGGTGTGGAGACAGGGAAGTCCTGTGTGGCAGCTCAACGTAGTGAAACCACAGGCCTTGAAGTCCAAACCAACAGTAATGGTCATTTGACTGGATGGTGATGTATGTGCTAGGAGTAGTTTCATCATGAGCTCTTTTACAAACACAATTACTAGTTAAATACTTTTCCTTTTCAGATGTGCGTTCCAAGTGGGAGTATGATGAAAGCCATGTGATTACAGCCCTTAGAGTGAAGAAGGTATGGAGCAGTGTTAGGAACTGGGACATGTTGGCTACTGCACAGGGGGGTGTAAAGATTGGGGGCTGTATTCTAGATCTAGGAGCTGGAACCTATTGTTGGACACTGGGCAGCAGGAGCAAGACCGTCCCAGGACACCCCCTATGAGGGTCTCCTGTACTTCACCCCGACTTCCTAAATTGTCCCTAACTCTGGAGCTGCAACAGTATACAAGAAGCCTTGGCTCATTGTCCCTGCTCTCACGAAGCTTCTGTTCTACCCAGGGAACAGATGACAAGCTATAGAGCTGGTTACTAGAACCAAGCTGTAGAAGCCTCTCCCGTTCTGCCTAGCCTTCTCCTTTCTTGTCTTCCTTTACCCATTACAACTTTTCAAGAAGACAGAGTCCTGCAGGCAGTCACCATGCCCCCACTACTGCCATGTAACCCTTTTCCCACCCTCACAGGGTATTTTTCCTTCCAAGTAATTGACAGACTTTCATTCAGAATCTGTCCCTGACATTGGCAGTCCTCACCAGATTCTCCAATCTTGGCTTTCCAGGTTCTCTCTTGCTTTTCTATCTCTTTGATTCATTTTCATTTTCTCCTACTATTGCCTAAAGAAAACCACTGGTGTGTTCTTGGTCTCCTTCATATCTGTAAGTGTACCTTCTTGCTCAGAGATTTCACACAGGCTCCCAGCTTCAGCTATGCACTTGCTATTAACTGTCCTGTCAGCCTTACCTGCTCCCCAACTCCTTTCCCTCTGCACTGTTAGATCTCTGGTCCTTTCCTATACATAATTCTTCACGGAGCACGAGCCCTGGTTCAAGCAGAGTTTGAATAAGTTTGCTGCCTGCCATCCCTCTTTCCTCTCACCCAGTCCAGCATCAACAACTTTTTTTTCTCCTTGGAATTTCAATTTTCTGACTTTATATTTTAGCTCTTAATTTCAATTTTAGGCTTTTTTCTGCTGCTTCTAACCTATTCAGAGATAGTCACTAAACCCTTCATGATATGTGGCCCTCAGTTTCCAGCTATCACTCAACTTTGCTTATTTCTTTGATTCTGGCAGCCCCCCAGCTCTGGAAATGAGGTATTATCTTTCCCTCAGTCCCTGGGAACCCCTCAACCAGATTCACACTTCTCCCTTCCATTTTTGTTTGCCAGCAGGTTGTAAGCCTTCAGGCAGTGCTAGCCTCAGTAGGACACAAAGTCCTTGAGTTTGGCATTCATGGCCTTCTGATTCATGGCCTCATCTGCAGTAAGCTTCACCTGCCCTGATACCTCAGTGTCACCACAAATATGTTTTAAAATGCACATATTTTAACATTTTTTGAAATTGAAGCATATCCTACAGTTGATCTGCACTTTAATGTGGCTTTTTTCCCCCAATAATACATGGTAGATACCCTGTTTTTCTGCCCAGTATCCCTGTTTTTTTTAAAGATTTATTTATTTATGCATGAAAGAACTAGTGTACAGGCTAGAGAGCGTGAGTGGGGAGCAGAGCAAGTGAATTGACTGAAATACACTGCTAAGGGGAGAGGTCTGCTGCACCAGGTGGGTCAGCTCCCTGGCTAGCGATTGAACTCATGCTGTGGTGGCTTGAGATAGCTTTGTAGTGCTGTGTTTTGACTCTTGTGCCACCAGGGAAGCCCCAGCTGTCCTTTTTTTTTTTCTTTTTGAGGGGAACTCCTCCACTCCCTGCTTAAATCTTGAGGCTCTGATGGTGCTCTCTAAACTGGGATCTAGTCACTGGTCACAGTGATTGGCTGTGGGCCTATGATGAAAACTGAGTAGGTCAGAAATGGAATTAGAGAAGGCAGTTCTTTCTATTCTGGAAGTAGAGTTGGAGGATGGGAGCCTGGCAGTGGCCTCAGGAAAATGAGAAGAAGTCATGGAAAGGCAAAGAACGCCTGGGGTTGAGATCTGGGTTGTAGCGCCTGGATTCAGGTTTTTTAAGGCCCATGCTGCTTTTGCCTAAAATGGTGTTATAGGATAATAAATCCCTCCTTTCATGCAAGCTCTTGATTTTAACTGATGGTGCATCTTAACAACCATTGGCCTAGCAGAGTCTAGAAACAGTCTGTGAAGCCCCCTGAACATACATTTGTCTACAAGTGTGTGTTGTATCCCTACTGCCTCCCAGCTGTTCAGCCTGGTCCCTGGCATCTGGTAGCTGTTCATTTCAGTCACTAAATGACTGAAAGCTGTTCCTTTTGCCTGCAGCATTCCCCCAGATCTTGCCCACCTGGCAAATTTCTACTTGATTTTGCTGTCTCCTCTCAAATGCTCCCTGTTCCATCCATCCAAATCTTTCAAGCCAACTCAGTCTTCTTTTCCCATTTTGAATCTCTGTATTCCAGAACCTAGCACTGTGGAAGTGCAAAGTTAAGTCCTCAACAAAGTTTGTTTACTTAATGAATGAATGTCCAGCCACATCCCTCCCTGCTCTCCTACCTACTCCACTCTCTCCACACCTTTCCTGTGCTAAAGCTCTTCTCCATACCCAGAACCTCTCTTTCCTCATTAACCTTGCTCTTTGGCTGTTTCCTAATTCCTTTTGAGAAATAGGATTTCTCCTCTCACTCTCCTGGCCCATACCCCCATGGTCTTGCCTTGCCACTTTTAGTGGAGTCCTTGTGCTCTTGTCCTAGTCCTCTGTCAGGGTCTCTGCTTCAGCCAGACCAGGTCCAAAAAGCAAATCAGGCCCAGTCCCCTTGAGTAGAGGCCTTTCAGAAAGCAGTGTGAACCAGTGCAGATTAGTCTCTCAGCCACTGCCTGGTGGCCCCCTGAGCTATGAAACAGCACCCTTTGGGATCCTGGGCCATTTTAACACTGTAAGAGCCTGGCCCTCCTCACAGAAGGCATCTGTAGTTCCTGCCCTTGTGTTCCTGTCATGGAACTCACTATTTCCTGACTTGACTCCTCAGGACCTCATGACTCTTGTTTGCCCACTTGTTTCTATAACCATATGTCTGACCTGCCATGTGCCAAGCACTACTCAGAAGCTTGGGATATAAGGAAGAATAAAACTATTGCTCTCAGAGTTTATGCTCTGTCTCATTATATATGCCTGCTATGGCTCCTGCTTATTTAAGCTGTTTTCTGTCCTCTGTATAGGGGTTTTCGGTTCCATCCCTCAGTGCCAACCACTCTTCCCCAGAGAGAGGATGTTCAGTTGGCCATGGTTGCTCTGATAGCACCCTTGTGCCAGAGAACCTAATAAGTAGTCTGCGGCTGGTCAGTAGCTGTTCTTTGGCCAGTCACTTGGCCTGACTCTGGTCTAGTCAGCGTGGTCAGCTTTTCACAGTATAGCATGTGGGCATGGAAGACCCTCAGAACTTGGCAGACTCTCTGGTCACTCTCAGCGCTTCTGTGCCTGCAGTTGTGCTCAGGAGAATAGGTGCGATCCTATTTCTGGTCCAGCCAGTGCAGGTGTGTGGGGAATATTTCCTCAACTGTACCTTCCCACCAACAGGCCTTTCTTGTGATCTCTCTAGAAGGCAAATGGATATCTTTTTCCAGAGTCTCTGGATCTGGAGTGTGTGAAATACTGTGTGGTATATGACAACAACACCACATCCCTGGAGGTAATCTTAAAACAAGATGACGAGGATGTTGATGAGGACTCTGATGACAATGAACAAGGTGCGTCTTTACTAGCACAGTGTGAATAATCATTAACAGTTAGTGAATAGCATTAAACATGTTGCCATGTGCCAGGAACCATGCCAAGCGCCCTGCCCATGCCAAGTGCCCTGCAATCTTCAGAGCAGCCTCCTAAGGGTATTAATGTGGAAAACTGGGAAGGGTCTAAGATGTTTTCCTGCCTCCGAGGTGACAAGTCAGCAGTTTCCTGGATGCTGCCTGAAGACAAGAGGCCCTTGGTTCAGAGACAAAGGACTTCGTTACTCAGAGCAACAAGACAAGCCAAGAATGTCTTCATGAACCTGTACTGTTGCCCCATGGTTGTTCTTCTCGAGCCCCAGTTCTTAAAGGGTAACATGAGGGTACAGAGTTGAGAATTCATTGCACGCCTCTAGTGGATTATGTTATGGGAGAACCCTGAGCTGAGGAGACTGAACTTTTTAGGATGGATAGAACCTGCCTGGTGTTGGCTCTGTGGGGAAAATGGTCTCTCTTACACAAAGCTGTTAAACAGATATTCTTGAAAAGCCACTGCCTCTGCTCAAAGGGTATAGAGAAATGTGAGACCATAGAGATGTCCCCTAATAGGTAACATCTTCATTTTATAGACAGGGAGTTTGGGGCCAGAAGGATGAAATTACTTACCCCAGATCCCGTACCTATTGCTGGGTAGCAAATTCTTCCCTAGTTCAGTAGTCTGATTATCTTAGCAAACACTGTGAGTCCAGAATTCAGGAGCAGAATAGCTGGGAGTCTGTGAAACAAGTCTGCCTGAAGGCTGTAGTCATGATGCCAGCTAGGGGTGCCGCCATCGGAAGGCCTGACTGGGCTGCCATGGGCTGTGTCTGAAATGACTTGCTAACATGGTTCCTGCCAGACTTCCATTTCATTCTGTCTCTTGGCAGGATGCCCCAGTCCTTCGCCATCTGGACCTCTCTGGCTTGGACAGCCTCACGACATGGCAGCTAGTTCCCCCCAGAGCGAATGAGCTGAGGAGAGTGAGGGAAAGCCACATGCCCTTGGGACTCATGCACAATCACTTCTGCATGTTTTACTCATGAGAAGTGAGTTATTACTACAGCCTCTCCTCAGGGAGAGAGCAGTTAAGGTTCCACCTTTTAAAAAGAGGCAGTTGAGAGGATCTGTAGACATGATTTTAAACCATCATGCCTAGTAAGAGGGGGGGTCAAGATCAAAATTCAGGGAGTTTGGCTTCAACAGCTTCCCAAGTCCTATTTAGTGATGGTGGAGAATGATGAATCACTCTGGCACCTTGTCAGAGCCTTGAATCACAGTCATTTCATCTGTTTTGTCAAGGTGCCACTATCTCTATCTAACTGCCAGTTTGGGGCTGGCTACCTTCTGTCATTGGCCTAGGGGCTCTGCTCTTTGTGCCGCTCAAGCTAGTATTTGTGAATGTTGGGTCAGGACATTCACACCAGCAGTCACTGGGTGGTGCTAGGCTTCTACCTTTAATAAAACCAGATTTGCCTGGCGGTAGACAGCGTCCCTAAACTCATCCTATTGGGTTCTAGTCTGCAGTCCTGGGACTCAGGACTGGACCCTGAAATGTTAGAAATGATTGTCAGTAAAGAACCCCTCTGCTTTCTATAAACGGCCTCACTGCTATTTATAGAGTAGATATTCTCACTCTGTGTGAAACCACAAATGCAGAGCAACTCCAGCAGATAACCCAAACCCAGCCACACACTCTCTGCCCTCTTAAAGGCAATTTTTCTTTTTTACAATGATATCTTTTATATCAATGCAGTCTTTGAGTAAAAGACCATTTAAAAGTTTCTCCCACCATCTTCTTCTTTCCACTGTCAAACACATGCCTCCCTGGACCCCTAAAGAAATCTGGGTATTGGAGATGCCTTCATCACATCCTGGAAGTAGGTATCAGTTTTCCTGTAGTCCTTTGCTCCTGGCCTCCAGGTAAGGTGTAGCCAGCTTGTGTGGCCATCTTGTCTGAATCCCGGGATGTTCTCAGGACTTCTCACTGAAGTTTCTAGTTGTCCTCTGGCCTTCCTCTGGCACTGGTCCCATACCTCTAAGTGTGAATGAGCCCTCTAATTGGTCTTATGACATTGGTGGGGAGCATCTGTCTGATTTTAAAAACAGCAGCAGTGTGGCCTGGGACACTCCTACCCAAATGCCTCTGACCCACCAGTCTTTTTCGTTAGTCTCTTGTTCAAGAGGGAGCTGGTAACTCCGTGAGGCCCAAGCTGATCTCTCTGCCTCTCAAACCAGGCCTCTTGGGATGGTTGTTGGCTCTCTCTCACTAGCTTCCAGATCTCTCATGACCTGACTACTGAGATCCAGGCTCCTTACCCAAACGTAAGACCTGTCTCAAGCCACTTCTGTCCTCAGCAGCCCCTGCTGGAACTGAACTCTTCTGCAGCAGAAGTTGAGTTAGAAGTCAGAGTCTGCCTTTCCCTTTTTCCTTTTATTAGCTCTCCGGGGTCTGCCACATCCCAAAGTGGGGGTCAGATCCTGGCCTCTGGGTATCTTGGCTTATATATAGTGATAGAAGCTCCCCTTGCATATATCTAACTTGCTGTCTAGTAGTGTTCTGCAGATCACAGAAAGCACTTAAGATTAAAGTGATGTCAAAACCACAAAGAGATATCACTTCACTTCCACTAGGATGGCCATAATAAAAACAAACAAACAAGTATTGGCAAGGATCTGGAGTACACATACATGTCTGTTCAGAATGCATGGAAAACAGCTTGGCATTTCCTCAAAAGCCATTCACTTATATACCTTGAATAGGTGAATTGTTGGTGTATGATATGCATATATATAACATTTCCTTTTTGTTAAGCCATCTTTCCTTACAATGATACAGAGACAGATATATAATCTCAGAGTTAGAGGGTGGGGGAGCCAACCTACTTGGTGGTAAGTGCTTATTAAATTTTTTTTAAAGATTTATTTATTCATACAGAACTGGGGTACAGGCCAGAGATGCAGAGGGTGAGAGGATTCACCAGAGACAGAGTGGGGAGCAGAACAGGCATATCGGGGAAGTACATTGCTGAGGGGAGCAGCGGGCAGGTCAGGAGAGGTCTGCCACGCCATGTGGATCTCCTCCGGGGCAGGCGGGGATCAAACTCATACGGAAGTGGCTTCAGCTTCTTAGTGTGCTTTAGCCCGCTGTGCCACCAGGGAGGGCCTGCTTATTAAATTTTAATTGTAATATTCATCTCTATCTTTGCTTCACCTTTCTAGATAATTGCTTTTCAAAATAAATTGATTTATTTTCAGGATAATGGAGCTTTAGACAAATGGTGAGCATACCAGGATCACTTCTCTTGGGCTTCTGTCTTAGGAGTGATGCTTGGAACTGCCCTTGAGTGTGCCACAGCCCTGACCCACAACACCCGCTACCCTATCTACATCCTGAAAGGGGGTTACCAGCAGTTCTCAGCCATGTACCACTTCTTCCGGACGCAGAAGATCATTTGGATGCCACAGGTAAGGCAAAATTGGGTGCAAGGGCTTCCCTTCGGGAACAAAATGTGGGGAGAGGGCTAGGAGAATGAAGAGGCAGACAACTTGAAAAAGATGGGAGAGATGTCACAGACTGAACTTTCTTAAGCCTGAGGATTGACCCAGCTGGCCACCTGCTCTTTGATTATGGTTTTTGAGGTTTACAGCTTGGCAAGGATGTGAGCTTTCAGTGGGCTCGCTGGGAGGGGAGACTACTGAGGCAGACAGCAAGTAGCCTTCAATACCTACAATGTCATTTTTTTTTTCATTTTTTTTTATTTATTACAAAGTTTATTTTTACATCATTTTGCACATTTTTTTTTCCATCTCGATTGTAATCCCTGCGGGTTTCCCATCACCAAATCACCCCTGTGCCACCACCATAGTCCCGTGCATTTCCCTCCCTTCCCCCCCCCATTTTTGATCCCATTCCCCACTCCACCCCCACAGAATGTCTCTGGTATATGGTTGTTCATTATTTTTGTTATTTTCTCGCCTGGTCCATTATACTCCTGCTATGAGTGAAACCATCCGATATTTTTCTTTCTCTTTCTGGCTTATCTCACTAAGCATGATCTTTTCCAGCTCCATCCAAGTTGCTGCAAAAGACATGTGTTTCTCTTTTTTGGTTGCTGAGTAATATTCCATACAATGTCTTTTTTTTTAAAGATTTATTTATTTATACATATAGAACTGGGGTACAGGCCAGAGGTGCAGGGGGTGAAAGGATTCACTAGAGACAGGGGAGCAGAACAGGCAGACTGACCTAAATACACTGCTGAGGGGAGTAGCGGGTGAGACAGCAGCAGGCCACGCCATGAGGGTCAGTTCTCTGGCTGGGGATTAAGCTGGCCAGGGATTGAACTGATGCTGCGGTGTCTGTGGGTAGCTTCATAGTGCTGCACTTTAACCTGTTACATCACCAGGGAGGACCCCCTACAATGTCATTTCTGAGTTAGACTCAGAGCCAGAGGAATTTTAGAACTGGATTTTTATCTTTGTGATTAATTATGGAGTGCAGTGGGGGAAAGGGGTTTCTAAAGAGATCATATTGGAAGCGTTAGGTGATAACAACAATAGTGGGTTTTGTGTGTATATGTAAAATATTTAAGATCTATCCTTAAAAATAAATCTACTCTTTTAGTAACTTTCAAGTATACAATACAGCATACACTACAGTTATTATAGTTACTATAGTTGTAGTTACCATGTTGTATATTAGATCTCCAGAACTTAGTCATCTTAGTTTTTACCCTTTGACCAACATCTCCTAGGGCGCTCCCCCCAACTCCAGCCTCTGGCAACTCTCCTCTTCTGTTTCTATCAGTTTGGCATTTTTAGATTGCATACATAAGTGAGATGATGAGTATTTGTCTTTCATCTCTGATTTATTTCACTTAGCATAAAGTCCTTGAGACTATCCATGTTGCTGCAAGTGGTAACATTTCCATCTTTATGCAGCTGAGTAATATTCCATTTCATATTCACATCACATTTTCTTTATCCATTCTTCTGTGAATGGACGCTCAGGTTGTTTCATATCTTGGTTAATATGAGTATTGCTGCAGTGAACATGGGGATGCAGATCCTTCTTCCAGATAGTGATTTCATTTCTTTTAGTTATACTCAGAGGTATGATTGCGAGATCATATGCTGTTCTAGTTTTAATGTTTTGGGAAGCCTCCATTCTGCTTTCCATTGTGGAAAGTGACTAGGGGGTTTCTCCTCTGCTGAAGATTTTTTTTAAAGATTTATTTATTTATTATAACAAAAATAATGAACAACCATATACCAGAGACATTTTGTGGGGGTGGAGTGGGGAATGGGATCAAAAACGGGGTGGGGGTGGGGAGGGAAATGTACAGGATTATGGTGATGGCACATGGGTGACTTGGTGATGGGAAACCCACAGGGATTACAATTGATATGGGAAAAAAAATGTACAAAATGATGTAAAAATAAACTTTTGTAATAAAAAAAAAGATTTATTTATTTATGCTTACAGAACTAGGGTACAGACCAGAGGTGTGGTGGGTGAGAGAATTCACCAGGGACAGAGTGGGGAGCACAACAGATAGACTGACAAAGTACACTGCTAAGGGGAGCAGCGGTTGGGTCAGAAGAGGTCTGCCACACCATGTGGGTCAGCTCCTAGCTGGGGATGGAACTCGTGCTTCAGTGGCTTCATAGAGCTTCGTAATGCAGTGCTTTAACCAGTTGCACCACCAGGGAGAGCCCTCTGCTGAATTTATTTGAGCCTTTAATTGCTAATGTACATTGTGCGTTTCTGAGAGCGGGAGAGTAGGCTCTGCTTCCCATATATGCTCAGTTCTCTGAAATTTTTTTTTCAAAATGCATCATGAGGGACCATTGTTTCTTGGAATATACTTTGGGAATGTGAAATAAGCTTTTTCTTTGTTTTTCTTTGTCTTTCAAAGAAACTAAAATTTTCCTAACTTTGAACCTGGAATTCAGTAGGCTTCCATTTAAGTGTTATCCCTACCACTCTAAATCAGAACTCATAAGAATTTCATCAGTTTTCATTTCCTAATGGTAACTAGGCTCTATGTAGTTTCATTGTTTTTTAAATAAAGGTGTTTATATATGGTGGCCTCTAAGTATGATAAATGAGCTCTCTCTTTCTAGTCTCCAGCTCCCCCAACTGGACAACTGGTTTCCACTGTTCTTGGTCACAGGGGGTTCGACTTGAATCTTTGTGCATTTAGTCTAATGCAGACAGGAGGGGTGGACAGAGGTAGGGTGTCTGTGTCCGGATCAGCCCTCTGTGCTGTGACCTTGCAGTTCAGTCCCTCTAACACCCCATGCAGGTCTTGCCAGTTTCTCTGAATGCCCACATTTCAGTATTACTCACTGCCCTGGATTTTGTCTTTCTGCTTGATGAATAGCATGTCAAGAGACAACCCCCACCCAAGAAAAATCAAAAGACAAAACCAAATTTAAACAATATAAAACCAAGATCAACTTCTTCCCTGGGGGATATTATCATAGTAAATATGTATAGCAGATATATCATATGTGTATTATTAACCATTTTTGTTCTCACCTCAGGAACTGGATGCCTTTCAGCCATATCCTGTTGAAATAATTCCAGGTAAGATCTACCTGGGTGACTTCAGGCAAGCATGTGACCCTAAAATTCAGAAGGATTTGAAAATCAAAGCACATGTCAATGTTTGCATGGAGACAACACCATTGTAAGTTGATTTTTTTTTAGATTAAGTATCACTTATTTATACAAGATGCTCAGTGCAGTGCATGTAGAGAGTTGAAAAAGCTCTTTGAAGTCAGCACACATCTATTCCTGGGATGCAGTTTCTTCCTGCCTTGACCATGGCATCCTCTGCCTGCAACAGACATCCTGTGCTTATCCTATAAATCTCACCAAAAGTGGTGGAGGGTGAGTGGCACATATGGACATATGAAAGAGCAAAACTGTAACACCTCTTCCCCCACTAAAAAATTTCACCCAAAGTAATGCTTTCCTGGTATTTAACACTATGGTACAAAGTATCCTGTTCTACCCTGCTTTGCCTACTCTCAGGCGCTCTGGGAAGTAGTTCTTGTCTTAGTCTATTCAGGCAGAGATAATAGAACCCAATAGACTGGTAACTTAAAAACCACAGAAATTGGGCCCTCCATGGTGGCACAACGGGTTAAAGTGCAGCACTGTGGTGCTCGCTGCTGCTTTAGCACTAGTTTGATCCGCAGCCAGGGAAGTGACCCAAATGGCGCAGCAGACTTCTCCTGTCGTTCCTGCTGCTCCCCTCAGCAGTCTACTTCGCCGATCTGCCTGTTCTGCTCTCCACTCTATCTATGGTGAATCCTTTCATCCCCCTGCAGCTCTGACCTGTACCTGGGTTCTGTATGTAAAAATAAATAAATCTTTTTTTAAAAAAAAGCCCCGGCCCTCCCTGGTGGCACAGTGAGTTAAAGTACAGAACTAAGAAGCTAAAGCCACTTCAGCATGAGTTCGATTCCCGCCTTCCCCAGAGGTGACCACATGGTATGGCAGACCTCTCCTGACCTGCCCGCTGCTCCCCTCAGCAGTGTACTTCATCGATCTGCCTGTTCTGCTCTCCACTTTGTCTCTGGTGAAGCCTTTTCGCCGATCCTGAGCCTCTGGCCTGTACCCCAGTTCTGTATGCACTAATAAATCTTTTTAAAAAAAACCCACAGAAATTTATTTCTCAAGCTCTGGAAGCAGGAAGTACAAGATCAAGATGCCAGTGAATTCAGTGTCTCACAAGGGCCAGCTTTCTGGGTCAGGGCAACATCTTTTCACTGTGTCTCATATGGTAGAAGGAGGAAAGATGCTTTCTAGGGTCCACAAGGCATGAACCTGAAGGAGGCTCCAGCCAGCAGTTTGTGCTGAACAGAGACCCTCAGGCAAAAAGCGTCCAAGGAACTGAGTACTGATAAAAGCATGTAAGGTAGCTTCTGAGCAGCTCTTCTCCAGCTAAGTCTAAAATGATACCAGATGAGACTCAGCCAACAGCTTGACTATGGCCTCGTGAGGGATTTTGAGTCAATGGTATTTAGCCAAGCTGTACCCAGATTCCAGATCCAAGCTGTAGTTCCATATCCAGATAGATGTTTGTAGTTTTAAATTACTAAGTATGAATATATTTTGTCACACAATAAAGAATGTAGTCTTAAAGCAACTGATAACCCACAATTTTGTAATCAGAGAATATATCCTTTAAAAATGTAAATGAGAGGAATTTCCCTTTTTGACTATGATAGAGTAACTGGGGTGAGATTTAGAACTCCATTGAAAAATACCAGACAAAATAACTGAACAAGAGGTTTCAAACACTGACCAACAGGCAACACTAGGTAGTGATTTCTGGGAGAAGGAAACCAAGGCAGACCCTACAATGGGCCCAGCTGATTGCCAGGAGATTGTTGGTCACAATACAGGGGTGGGGTCATTCTTCAAGAGCTTAAGGTATAGAGTTGAGAAATTAGAGAGGTCAACCTGATTTGAATTTACAGGAGAGACTGCTTAGAGAATGGAAAACTGAATATGAAGAATTAGAGCTGTAGGCATCTACAGAGGGTCCCTGTGTCTTCAGCTCAGCACTTAGAAGTATGTGCCTTTGAGGAAACTACCCAGGCTGGTCATTGATTAGAAGAACCAATTGTTTCTTTTTTAAAGATTGATTTATTTATTCACATGGAACTGGGGTACAGGCCAGAGGTGTGGGTGGTGAGAGGATTCACCAGAGACAGAGTAGGGAGCAGAACAGGCAGATCGACAAAGTACACTGCTGAGGGGAGCTGTGGGTGGGTCAGGAGAGGTCTGCCTCACCATGTGGATCTCCTCCGGGGCAGGCGGGAATTGAACTCATGTGGAAGTGGCTCCAGCTTCCTAGTGCTGTGCTCCAACCCGCCGCACCATCAGGGAGGGCCAGAAGAGCCAATTTTGTAAACGTGTCAGCTCTACCCAGTTGATCTACATATTCAGTACAAAGCAGTAAGATCCTAGTAGGTCTGTGGAAATTGATATAGAATTAAAACTTATATGAAAATGCAAACAGCAAAAATTAGCTGAATATTGAAGAACAACACATGAAAAGACTTCCTTGACCAGATGCCAAGACTTAAAAAACTACAGCAAGTAAAGCATTGTGTTACTAGGGCAAGAGTAGAAAAGTAAACCAATACTTTTTATTCTAAACATTTTATCACTTTAACATTGACATGTTTTGAAATGAATTTTGTATATGGTGCCAGATATGGAAGTGTTCATTGTTAGGGCCTCCATGGTGGCTTAAGGGGTTAAAGCACAGCATTGTGAAGCTATCCGCAGCCACTGCAGCACAAGTTCAATCTCCTGTTTTTCCTGCTGCTCCCCTCAGCATTGTACTTTGTGGATCTGCCTGTCCTGCTCCCCACTATGTCTCTGGTGAATCCTCTCACACTTCTGTACCTCTGGCCTGTACCCCAGTTCTGTATGCATAAATAAATAAGTCAATACTTTTCTATTAAATTGTTTTGGCACCTTTGTTAAAAATCACCCAACCATATGGGTATGAGATTATGTCTGAATTCTTCATTCATTTTTCATTGGCTTGTGCTTTACAACAGTTCCATACTCTTGTTTATTACTGCTTTTTTTTTTTTAAAAGATTTATTTATTTTATTCATACAGAACTGGGGTATAGGCTAGAGATGTGGAAGGACAGAGTGGGGAGCACAACAGGCAGATCAAGAAGTACACTGCTGAGGGGAGCAGCGGGCGGGCCATGAGAGGTCTGCCACACCATGTGGTCACCTCCGGGGCAGGCAGGAATGGAACTGATGCGGAAGTGGCTTGAGCTTCTTAGTGCAGTGCTTTAACCCTCTGCACCACCAGGGAGGGCCTATTACTGCTTTTTAATAAATCTTGAACTCAGGTAATGTTGGCTTTCTAAATTTGTTCTTTTTCTTAGTTGCTTCCCTTGAATTTCCATATAAATTTTAGAATCAGCTCTAGTTTTCTACCAAGTTCCAGCAAGAAGCCTATTAGACTTTTGATTGGGATTGAACTGAGTCCACAGGTCACTTTAGGGAGAATTGAAATCCTACACATAAACACGGTCTATTTCTTCATTGACTTAGTAGGTTTTTAATTTCTCTCAGCATTGTTTTGTTGTCTTTAATATACAGATGTTACATATATTGCATCACATTTTTGCTTATTTTATATTTTCTGATGCAATTATAAATTATAAAATTCAATTTCTGTTGGTTGCTAGTATATAGAAATCCAATTGATTTTTATATATTAACCTTGTATCCTCCAGTCTTCGCCATTCAGATGGTTCATCCATCAAGAAGCTCTCTCCAGCTTCTCAATTCTCCCTGACTCTCTTCCTCAATATTATGTGTAGGTCTTTATCCCGACACCTAGCCAAGTGTTTGTGTATTTGCCTCCCATACCAGACTCAGAGCACCTTGAAGGTAGGCAGGGAGGGGTCTATTTGATTCATCCTGTGTCCACAAGGGTCCAACTCGAGGCCTGGCACATAGTGGGCACTGAGTGAGTGTTGTGAAAAGAATAGATAGATGGATGGGAGGGTGGGTGGTGAATTGTGCTTATATTTGTCACACCAAGTGCTGATGCACAAACTTAATCAGCCTACTTTTGTTTCTGAATATACTGTAACTTTCTGCATGCATAGTGGTCTGCATATAGCTAAGTGTCACCAGTAAACAATAGTTGACGTGACTCATAACATTATGTTTTAGGTCTACAGTATAATGATTTGATATTTGTATAAATTGTGAAATGATTGCCACAATAAGTCTAGTTAGGTTTTCCATCACTCTACATAATCACAAATTTTTTTTCATGCAATGAGAACTTAGCAACTACACTCTTAGTAACTTTAGAATATACAACTGTGTCATTAACTATGGCCCCTACACTGTACATTATATCCTCATAATTTATTTTGTACCCTCTTCACCCATGTTGCCTACCCCACTTGACCAGTCTCTTTAAGTAACACTTTCCAGTGCTTCCTGCATGCCTGGCATTGCTCAGCTCCTTGCAGGCATCTCTCATTAAACATGCCACATGCCTCGTCTTCCTTCTTCCTAGGCCCTTGTTCAAAAAGCTCTAGCCACTCTGATCCTCCCTGTTGTTTCTCAGGATCACTAAATGTACTGTCTCGCAGAGCCTTTGCACTTGCATTCTCTTCTACCGAGGGCACTTTTCTCAGACGATTGCCTGACTGGCTCCTCCACCTCCTTTAAGCCTCTTCTCATGTCACATCCTTAGTAAAACCCTTCCTGACCTCCCTATCTAAAACAGCAATCTCACAACTTTACATCTCTCTCACCTGTTTTCTGAGGTGAAAAAAACATCTTCATCTTTATGTCTGCACCATATTCTCAGAAAGCTCCATATTTTGGTTAATGATAATAATGTCTATTTAGTGAACACTTACTATGTGCCAGGAAGATGGCTAAATGAGAGATTGGTACTTGTTTTCTGAGAGTGTTTCAGTCTTGCCCGTATCTCCTGCATGTGCTCAGCTTCCTCTCTGTTTCTGTGCTGGGGGAAGGACTCCACAGTGGGGCAGTGTTTCAGTCTGTCCAGTTACCAGTGGTTTCCTTCTGTTTAGTTTCAAAGGTGATGCTAACAAGCTTCTGCACATCCATATAGAGGATACTCAGGAAGCGAATATTTCACCATTTTTACGTCACCTCTGTCACTTCATTGGTAAGGAGCTTCTTCTTATCTGGCAGCCTGGGCCCAGGGCAGAGGGTATGTGGCACCTCATCCACATTCCTAGTCCTGATTGTGGCCGCCAGTGCTCAGGAGAGTAAGGTCAGGGCCCAGCACGAGCCTTTCCAGGTGTGGACAAGTCCTGGGACCACCTTTCAGGGACCCTTGGTGATTATGTGGCCATGTTCACCTAGGGAGCTCTGTGCCAACTAGTGCAGCAGATTGTGGCTTGAGCAATCTCTGTTCTGGCCCTGGCTGGACTGATGTGGCCTTTTGGGCCTGGTTGAACCCACCCTGGCCTTACTACACCTATTGGAGGTCTTGAAATGAACTGGATATATGGTTCATGGAGACCTGCTCTGGGCTAGGCTCTGGGGCCCATAGCTCAATCTCACTTCACCCATCCCTGCCTTCCTATCTGATCTGGAGGTGAGTATAGAAGGGAGATTCTAGACCCCTACTATGATAACTATGATGTCTGTGATTCCCAGTTCGTGTGCCCAGCGCCTCTGTATTCTGCTAGCTGCAGCAGTGCTTGTGTGTTGCCTGACTCACTGAGGGTGGGTTTTTCAGACAGTCCCAGGCCTGAGGATTGCTCAACAGGAGCAAGAGCCTGCCAAGGGTGAGGTTGAGTCAGGTCAGCATAGGGCTACTTTCTTGGCACCAACATAGCCCCCCTGTCTGAAGTACTGCATGTAGGGCAGAGGGTGAAATCTTGGTCTAGCCATGCCTCATTTTTCCAGGAGGTTGCAATTCTCATTTGACAAATAGCTGAGACTGAGACTTCCATGTGTCCTACCATAGGATGTCAGGCTCTATGGCATAAAGATGCCCCCTCTTGCAGCCTAGTGACTCTGGGCCAGGCCTTAACTGCTCTGTGCCTCAGTTTCCTTATTTATACAATGAGGCATTGACTTAGTCATCTCTGAGTTCTCCTCCAGTGCTGACAGACTACAGTGATTTACTACTTGGTTGGTATGTTTATCTTCAGTTCTTTAGAGTTACCAGGCCGGACCCAGGGCCCAATTCCTCTGCTCCTCATTGGATGAGACTTGTAGCCTCTGGGGCATTCAATGTGATTCAGCTGACATCTCTCTGCCAGGCACTGGGCTAAGGACACTACAAACCTTATGAGACAAATAAAATTATATTATTCCATTTCCAGATGAGGGAACTGTGACTAAGAGTAACAATTTCAAGTCCTACAGCCAGTGAGTGGCAGAGCCAGGATTTATACTCAGACTGCACTACCTCTGTCAACACCCAAGTGCTTTGCGGGGATGATCCTTTCATCCTAACCAGGGGAGACCAATTTTCTAGGGAGCTTCCTGGGCTGGAAACTTGGAAAGCAAAGGAAAGCCCTTTGCAGAATGATGCTGAGGACACCCAGGTGTCATTTTCTAGAACTGCTGCCAGTTCTGAGGACCCTCATTTGCCAGGCAATGAAAGAGATGTCACATAATTAGCTGAGGACATGGTGTGCTGGTCTGAACTCACTGTTAGACCCACTGAGGCCAGTCATTTTCCAGCTTCCTCATTTTACAGGGAAGAAGGCCATGCATGACCCCACCCTTCCTTCCTTTTGCAGACATTCACCTGGAGCTTGGCTCTGTTATCCTGGTCTTCTCCACTCTGGGTATCAGTCGCAGCTGCGCAGCCGTTATAGCCTACCTCATGCACTCAAGAGAGGAGACCTTAAAGGTGTGCGACCCCTGGCTCAGGCTCATACACAGCCACCTCTGGAGGTGGAAGGAATGGGCCCACCACTGCTTTGAACCCTAACTGGGAGGTGGGAGGGGAAAGGTTCAGGGAGGCAGCTCCAAGTCCAGGGCTTTACTCATTCACCCTACAGCCAAGGGCTGGGTCTCAGTAGTCTAGCTAGAGTTGAGGCTGGGCACACTGGGGGAGGCCCAGAGACTCAGGCTGGGTAAGCACTATCTGCGTGTCCCCACTGCTGTCACTCTGTCCATCAGCATTTGTTGGAGGTTCTGCCTTCTGCTTAGCACAGGATTCAGTAGTGGAATAGCTTCACTGTGTCTCCAAGCCAACCATCTTCTTTTACCTCTGAGGAGAGCAGGGTACAGAGATGGGAAAGAAGCAGAGACCCGTCATTACAAACTCTGTGGGAACTCAAGTTCATGACTCTAAAGGACAGTGCCTTCCATTGTCCCTTGCCCAAAGGGATGGGAGACTCACAGCTCTGTTTTAGGCACTGGATGGTTTTGGCATGCTCGCTGAAGTCATTTGACCACTTATGTGAAGGTTTATTTCTGAGCTGTTTGTTCTGATCCATTGATTTAAATTTCTGTCTTTTTCAGTATCACACTGTTTTATTTTAATTTTGTAGTACCTTCAAAGGTTTGAAATTAGGAAGTGTGAGACCCTTAACTTTTTCTTTTTTCAGGATTGCTTTGGCTATCCAGGGTTCCTTGATACTCCATATGAATTTTAGGGTGGATTTTTCTATTTCTGCCAAAAATGGTGCTGGGATTTTGATAAACCACATTAACTCTATGAACTGCTTTGGTTTGTATTGACATCTTAACAGTATTCATCTTCTAATGGGTGCACATGATGTTTTTCTATTTATTTGTGCTTTTCAGAGTACAAGTTTCTAGTAAGTTTGTTCCTATATATTCTTTTTGATGTTATTGGAAATAGAATCTTTCTCAATTTGTTCATTTTTGGTGATAGATATGCAACTGACTTTGCTGATTATCCTGTACCTTTGCTAAATTCACTTATTACCTCTAATACTGTGTTGTTGTTTTTTTTTTGGTGTAATCTTTAAGATTGTTTAGATATAAGGTCATGTGATCTGCAAACAGATAAGTTTATGCCTTTCTTTTCAATTTGGATGCTTTTACTTTCTTCTTGTGCCTTATTGCTCTGGCTAGGACTTCCAGCACTGTGTTGAATAGAAATGGTGAAAGCTGGCAACCTTGTATTATTCTTGATTTTAGAGGAATAACTTCCAGTTTTTCACCACTAAGTATGACATTATCCATGAGCTGTTCATACATAGCCTTTACTGTGTTGAGGTAGTTTCCATCTATTCCTAGTTTGTTGAGGCACCATTTTGTTGATTTCCTTTTTCTTCTGTTACGTTCCTTCATGTAATTACCCTCCTGTACCTTAGGGAAGAATCCTGAAAGAAGGTAGCTTCAATTTTCTCTCTTCTGATAATTTACCCAGAGTTTTCTGCCCCTTTCCATTCATTTGTGTAATCACAACGCCAACCTTTGATGAGGGGCCACTGTGTCCCACCATGGGCATGGTGCCTTCCTGCTTACAGGAGGTTTCACAATAGTCTTATCTTTATTGGAGCCATCTGAAATAAGAATAATTTCTATCACCATATCAAGAAACAGGTACAAGCCAGTCCCTATGACTCCCTGCCCCAGTGTGTTCAGCCCTTCGGTCTGCTTCTGGTCCCTGAGCAAGGTGTCTCCTGTTCCTTTTGAGCTGGCTCTGATCCATATGGAAAGAGCCCAGGTCCAATCCTAAAGTTTATTTCTTCTGCTTGCATTCATAGAGGTCTTGGGCCCATGTCAAGAAGTGCAAAAACAACATGCGCCCAAGTCGGAACTTGGTGGCTCAGCTGTCACAGTGGGAGCAGATTGTCCTCGGAGACTTCGCCACTGACATCTCTGACCCACTCTACTGATCTCCTCTGTTGCCCAGCTGTGGGTCTTGAAGAACCTCCCCTGGAGACTTCTTGTGGGTGGTGGACCAGTTATGTAACCAGGTTGGTCTAGAAGAAGGCCTTTGCTGCCCGGAGCCCCATGTCAGCCTCCTGCTGTGGTTTTTTTCTAGACTTCTTGTTCACCTCACACAGCAGGTGCATTCTACTCAGACCTCATGAAAACCCCCATCTCTGGGGCACCCTGGACACCCCTGTTGCATTCTTCAGGCTACCCTTGGAGGAGTATCTGGCAGCCCCACACGTCCTTCATGATTTGGATCCTTTAGGGATTGCCTGGGGCCAGGGGGTGCTAGTGCTGCAGGAGTTTCTCCTACCTTGTGTTGATCCACAGGGAGTGTCACAATGCTCACTCAGAAACAGAGGTCATCCAGCGCCAAATATGCCAGGCCTAGCCTTGGCTCAGGTTCTAATCACTACATTCAACAGCTTTGGACACAGGGGTACATCTTTGACTCTGCCACAGTCCCAGCTTTCCTTCTATTCCATCCCTGGCTATTTGTCCAGCTTTGTTTTCCTTGGTCCCCACTCCTTTCTGCCTGAGTTCACCAAGAAGAGACTCCTATTTCTCCCACCCTCCACACTAGATTTGAGATTCCTCAAATCTTTTTTTTTTTTTTAAAGATTTATTTATTTATTCATACAGAACTGGGGTACAAGCCAGAGGCTCAGGGGCGGTGAGAGGCTTCACCAGAAACAGAGTGGGGAGCAGGACAGGCAGATCGACGAAGTACACTGCTGAGGGGAGCAGCGGGCGGGTCAGGAGAGGTCTGCCACGCCATGTGGTCACCTCCGGGGCAGGCGGGAATCGAACTCATGCTGAAGTGGCTTTAGCTTCTCAGTGCTGTGCTTTAACCCGCTGCGCCACCAGGGAGGGCCGATTCCTCAAATCTTAACGAGAGTTTTCATCAGAACACTGCTCCCATTGCTGTCAACACCCATTGAACAGCCCTGGAGTCAGGAGCGGGCACAGAGGCTGATGGACAATTTACCGACGTCTGTCTATGCTCATTCAGCAAACATTCCCTGCCACCTCACTGGGACTGGGGACAGGGACGACCCTCTTCCTGCCTTCTAGGATTCTTAAAAGAGGAGTAGAGAAGCCCTCCCAGTGGAAGTGGGAGCCCTCAAGGAATAGTGGGGTTTCGGGCTACAGGAGTGAGGACTTTCCAGGAAGTGCTGGCGTGACTCAGTCTGAGCTGGAACAGAGCCTGGGATGGCTACAGTGCAAAGGCTGTGTAGGTCAGGGGCCTCCTGGTAGCGAGTGGAGCCACTGGTAAATTTTTGAGGACAGGGTAGGGACTCCCTGTTCTTTAGGTGGCCGTGTGAAGGGGCTGCAGCGGAGAGAGCCTAGAGCTGGGAGACAGGGAGGAGCCTGCTGTGAAACCCCAGGGAGAGAGAAGGCTCAGGATTCCCTCCTTGCAGGTTCCGGAGGAGGAAAGCTGTGAAGGCAGGTGTAACCTCCCTAGGCCTAAAGTCTGGCCGCCAGCTGCACAGATGAGGGCCCTGCTGGCTGCACCACGCAGCTGCCATGCCCGGTGGAGCCCAGGCGAGGGGTCACCACCCCTGCAGCCTTACCCAGGCCTGGAATCGCCCGACTAGCGGCTCGAGGTACACGTGGCCCCGCCCCGGCCCCGCCCCGGGACCGGATTGGCTCAGGCAGGGGGCGGAGCCAGCGCGCTCGGCTCTCCAGGCCTTTCCCCATTGGTGGTCCTGGCGTCTCGAGCCCGGAAGCGGACGGGGGCGGCGGCGGAGGTGGCTGTGGCGGAGGTCCCTGGGACTAGCCGGGGTTGCGGCTCAGTCCTTTACTCGTGGCTGGTCGGGAGCGCGGCCCGGCAGCCATGCAGCCCCCGCCCCCGGGCCCGCTGGGTGACTGCCTGCGGGACTGGGAGGAGCTGCAGCTGGACTTCCAGAGCATCCAGGTGAGCGCCAAAGCGGGCGCCCCTTGTCCCTGAGCCACGTCTCTCTGGCTCGGGGTCAAGGGTCAAGTGGCCCTGGGTCTGGCAGCCGGGAGCTCGGGGTCAGGGGTCGGGGACCCCTGGAGCTGTTTTTGAGGGCGGAGAGGCCTTCAGTCCCGGTGTCGCCAACTCTACACTCCTCTCGGCCCCAAATGAATATCGGGCGGTGGCACCCTAGCCCCGCACTGCTACTGCATCCCCCATGGGACCCCACTAAACTGGGTGGACTTGGCCCTTCAGCCAGGGCCTCAGGAAGAGTCGCCATCCGTCCCATTTCGGGAGGGTGGCCGCCTGAGTCACCTGGCCAGGCCCAGTCTCGAGTCAGCCACTCAGCCAGCACGCCGTGGGCGCTGTCCCGGCTGGGTCAGAACCCCTGCAGTGCTGTCCCCTCATTTGGGCCATGCTGCCTTGGCCCTAGTGCTGCCGCGGCCGCGGTCTTTAAGACCGGCTTCCTCCCCCGTGGGGGCGGGGTCAGCCCAGGTGAAGGACAGCGCCAAAGAAGACCGCTGCTGTGGCTGCTGCGGAGAGTGCGAGTGCGCGCGCCGAGGAGTGGGTTGGGCATTCCCTGCAGGGGCCAACCGCATGCACCTGGCCCGCTTGGCGGCTCCCTGAGCCAAAGGAGGAATTGCCTGCATCTGGCTTGTGTGGGCCAACATTCTGTTCTGTGTGGAAGCTAGGGAGGAGGCTGCAGGCCACCCCTAGCCAGGAGAAGGTAGTGGCAGTGTGTGGGGCAGAGGTGGTACATGCTGGTGCTGAGGGGTGTGTAAGGGCCTTTCCTGGAAATGAGAAACAAGATCTGACCTTTACCTCTCCGGAGCTGCTTTTCCCCGTCTGCTTTGAAGCCAAGCCCGCTGTCCTTAGTGCGTCTCCTCAGAGTTCTGATCAGGTCTTGTCTCCCAGCCTGGCTGCAACTCTTGCCAGGCCTTTCTCAGACCTGCCTAGGTTCCAGGCTGCTGCTGCTGCTTGGGATTCACTCACCAGGGCAAAGTGCTTTGGGAAGCTTGGGCCAAAGGTGCTGGGGGAGGGGTCGAGGGAAAGGCCTTTTACCATGAGGTCCAAGGGCTGAAATTAATCCTGATCACCTGGGAGTGCCCAAGCAGAAGGTACCTTGGACAAGCCCAGCCCCCTGCATTTGCAGGCCAGTTAGGCTGGAGGATCTGAAGGGTGGGGATGGTTTTAGGTAGCCTGCTTGGTCTATGAGGTGAACCTGTAAGGGGGGGGGGGGTAGGGAGGGATGGGAACAACTAGGGATAGACTGAGACAGAAAATTGTCAGGAAACTAGCCTGTTTTTGGGAGAATGGTGCTGTGTGGGCTTCTGGGTTTGCATCATCTTGCCTCCGTAGGGGAGAGCTACCTCAGGGGTGGGCTCTGAACAGGAGCAGCAAGTCCTGTCTCTTGCTCAGCCCCTACCAAGGAGTCCCAGAGAGCCTCTACCCCGACCTCCTGCCCAGCAGAACTCAATGGCAGTTCCACCCAGTCTGCCTTCTCTCCACCTGTTCCCCAGGAGAACCACCGGTTGTACCGCCTGAAGTTGGAGGAGCTGACCAAGCTGCAGAACACTTGTACCAGCTCCATCACTCGGCAAAAGAAGCGGCTCCAGGAGCTGGCTCTTGTTCTGAAGAAGTTAGGATCCCTTCTCCCAATCCCCCATGTTCTCCCTCACCTTTGGCAGGGATGGGGGTCTGACCTGGTGGGATGGTTAGAGTGGAGAGCTGGCACTGAGTCCTTGAGTGTCCCCGAGCATGGCCTCTCCCATCTCTGGGCACCATTTGCCTTCATGGCCCACAGGTGTCAAGTGTGATTCCTGGACCCTCCTGCTCTGACTCTGGCTTCTGTGGCCCCATCTGCAGATGCAAACCTTCCCTCCCAGTGGAGGCAGAGGAGGCCTCGCAGGAGCTGGAGAACCAGATCAAGGAACGCCAAGGCCTCTTCTTTGACATGGAGGCCTATTTGCCCAAGAAGAATGGGTGAGATGCCTACCCCAGCTCTGTTCACAGCTGCCTTGGGGAGGAAGGCTGAAGGTGCAGCTTCCCTCTGCTTGGTCATTTGGTCAGCAAATGTCCCCAGCACTCACTCTGAGATGGTTAAGACAACTCAGGGTGAATGGCTCAGTGACAGTGACAACTCGCCAGGATGGATGCTTTGAGGGGAAGGAGGACAGGGCATGGGTTGAGTTTAGATCCAGCCTCTTGGAGTAGGCAGAGTCTGAGCGAAGTAATTCATGAGTGACACAGACGACACAGCAAGGTGACAGCAAGTCTGGTGGCTGAGTGTGGGGTGGGACTAGTGAATGGAATGTCATGATGAAACCAGAGGGGCCTTGAGACCCCATCGGCAGGGGAGAAAAACAGGTCAACATGTTCTTAGACCTGCTTTAGTCACTGAAGAGGAAGGGCAGCCTTCCTCCTTCATGCTGATGCCTGGGCTGGATGAAAAAAACAACAGAGTACAGGTGGCAAGACAAGCAGAAGAGAGCCAGTTCCAGAAACTGAGGAAGAAAGGAGTGGCCAGGAGCCTCTGATCAGATGGCCCTGGGGTTAAATGTGATCAGGAAAGGTAAATGTTTCCTGAAGTCAGGGTGACCTTGGAGAGAACTGCTCCATGGGAAGGGGGAGGTAGAAGTTGATACTGGGAATGACAGGGCTGAGGAGACAGTCACATTTAGGCAACTTTCTGGAGTTTCACTGTGAGTAGGAGAAACCAGTATGTAGAAATAGTACCTGGAACTTAGCATGAGGGTGGTTTTTGCTTGGGTTTGTGAGTTACTTTGTATGGGAAAGCTTGAGTGTAGCTGCCTGCTGAGAGGTCTCAGAGAATCCAATCAGAGTTCTTAGGGAGGCTGTCAAGGCTCAAGTTTCTCAGAGCGAGCTTAGACACTGGGGTGGGTACTGGTACACGCACAGGTCCATACCTGGGTCGCAAGGCTAGTTGGAGATGAAGGCCCAGCTTCTGTGGGGTGAGAGAGTCAGGCCCTGAGGTGGGGTGGGGAGCTTGGGGGAGAAGTATGGGAGGCAGGGGATGTTGGTTTGACCTGGACACCACTGGTGAGCATGCCAGGAGAAAGGCTGGGAAAGTGTCCCTTGTGGAGTTGGTCTCTAGCATCTCGAGGTCAGAACCCTAAGCCAAGGCCATGGGAAGGCCAGATTGTAGCCTGGCCCATTTGGGGTACTGTCGCCTTTGGCTTCTCTCTGTCAGGGTCCCTCCTTACCCAGTCTCCCCTTCCCCTAGGTTGTACCTGAGCCTAGTTCTGGGCAACGTCAATGTGACACTCCTGAGCAAGCAGGCTAAGTAATTTGTTGTGATGGACTGGGTTTCAGCCCCTCTTCACCTCTGGGCTCCTTTCCTCTGCCCTGCCTCCCTGGCTATGCCTTGAGCTTCAGGGGCTGTTCCCACGCTAGCCCCATGCCCTTCCCCAGAAGTGGGTCCACAGCAGCAGCCTCTCCCCATGGGTGCAGGCGAGGGTGGGCCCTGCCAGCATCCAGCCTGTCCCATGAGTGTGTGCCCACTCAGGTTTGCCTACAAAGACGAGTACGAGAAGTTCAAGCTCTACCTCACCATCATCCTCATTCTCATCTCCTTTACTTGCCGCTTCCTGCTCAACTCCAGGTGGGTGTCCCACTGCTTGGAGTAGACCCTGCATCTCTCCATGCCTTCTGGCACCCACCCTCTGTGCCCTTCCCCAGGGTGACAGATGCTACCTTCAACTTCCTGCTGGTCTGGTATTACTGCACCCTGACCATCCGAGAGAGCATCCTTATCAACAACGGCTCCCGGTGGGTGAAGGCAGAGTCCAGTCCAGGTTGGGGGATGGGAGGGGGAGCCCTGAAACTACCCTGGAACATGGGCGGGGGTGACCACTGAGTAGTGGAACCAGGCTGGGGTACTGGTTTCTTCTTACCTCAGCCCCATTCTGAGTATGGACCTGGGGGCTGAGGAAACCTGACTGACAGCGGCTTCCTGATACAGGATCAAAGGCTGGTGGGTTTTCCATCATTACGTATCCACGTTCCTGTCCGGAGTCATGCTGACGTGGTAAGTGGCCCGGCCTGGGCTCTGAGAGCCTCAGCGAGGGCGTCTGGATGGGGAGCTGGCGTCCTCACACCTGCCTCCTCTGTTTCTGCTTTCTGCCGTAGGCCTGATGGCCTCATGTACCAGAAGTTCCGGAACCAATTCCTGTCCTTCTCCATGTACCAGAGTGAGTGTCTCAGAAGTCCGAGCAGGACTTGCCCACAGGGAGGGGTGGGAAAGGGCCTGGGCCCCAGCCCAGTCTGATGTGGCCCCCGCCCCCCCCAGGCTTTGTGCAGTTCCTGCAGTATTACTACCAGAGCGGCTGCCTGTATCGCCTGCGGGCCTTGGGGGAGAGGCACACCATGGACCTCACTGTGGGTGAGTCAGGCGCGTGGAATCCCGATGGTGGGGATGGGCTGATGTCCTGTTCTCTCCTGGCCCAGTGTTGGGTGTCCCTTCCCCTTGGTTCTTCTGTGCCCTGACTCTTTCTCCCCACAGAGGGTTTCCAGTCCTGGATGTGGCGAGGACTCACCTTCCTGCTGCCCTTTCTGTTCTTTGGACATGTAAGTTGGATCTGTGTGTCCCTGTCTCTTCCTGGCCTTAGGCTCAAGCAGGGACTGGCTTGTGTAATACCCCTTTCTATCCTATCTCCTCCAGTTCTGGCAGCTTTTCAATGCACTAACATTGTTCAACCTGGCCCGGGACCCTGAATGCAAGGAATGGCAGGTGAGCGGGGAACCCTGGAAGAGGTGCTTGGAGGTCCCAACTGTAGCCCCCCACCTAAACCTCGTTCCTTCCCCTGCCCCCAGGTGCTCATGTGTGGCTTCCCCTTCCTCCTCCTCTTCCTCGGCAATTTCTTCACCACCCTGCGGGTTGTGCACCAGAAATTCCACAGTCAGAGGCACGGGAACAAGAATGAATGAGGCTGGGCCTGTCTGTGCCAGCCAGCACGACTCCCTACAGCACCCCCATCCTGGAAGGGGCTTTTGTACCCCACATGTTGTTTGAGGGGGTGGAGGCTTGCCTTTTGATGGGAGGGTCTCTTTTGCTCTCCCTGGGTTTTTGGGCTCCGTGGGCCCTAAAGGCTATGCTGGAGAGGAAGAGCTGGGCCTCTTTCCCCACTCTGGGGAGCTGGGGGCCAGTGGCCTCAATAAAGGAGGAGGCACAGAGGTGGCTGGAGGTGTGTGCTCTTCCCAAGGTTCAGGTATGGGCCTGGTGACCCTCTATACCACCCTGGCACAGCTGTTGGGGGGTCCTGAGCTATGGTCACTCTGGGGTTGGAGTCACATAGTGCCAGGGAAAGACCCCTGCTTAGCAATAACCAGGCAGATACAGAAAACAGGACTTTATTCCAAGGGTGAAAGGTTATTTAAAATTATTTACACTCATTGAAAATCATGTGGAGAGACCAGGCCCCAGCTCAGCTGAGAGAAACGCCCCTGTTCAGCCCCTGAGGTGCTCACAGAGTGTGGGCTGGGGCACCCATAGCCACAAGCCCTGGGGGCTCCGAAGGGCGCATCTGGGACCTGGAGCAGTCTTTGTTATTGGCCCTGCCTGCTGTGGCCAGGCCCAGCAGAAACCACCCAGGAGATGGGCAGAAGGGAGTGAGGAAAATGATTACATGGGCAAGCAAGTCTATAAGGGTGTGATGGGAGGAGCAAGGCAGGCCGGCAACTCCTAGCTCCACACATCCAGGGAGTAGCGGCCCTTGGTCATCAGCTTCTTGATGTAGTCCACAGCCTGGGCATGCTCCATGGCTCCCAGCTCGGTCACGATGTCGTAGAAGGTGTTCTGCACATCCTTTGCCATATTCCGAGCATCCCTATGAACAGGAAAGAGGTGGTCCTGAGTGGTCAGACAAGGCCCCACTCCAGGCAAGCAGACAGGGTGGCCTCGCCCTGCCCCTCTGCCTCACTCACCCACAGACGTAGATGTGGGCACCCTCCTCGTGGATCAGCTTCCACAGGTGCTCCTTGTCCTTCTTCAGTAAGTGCTGCACGTAGACCTGGGGCCAGGGCAGTGCCAGTGAGCTAGGACAGTCCCACAGACACCCCTCCTGGCCAGGGTGGCCCACCACTGCCTCACCTTCTGGGGCTGCTCCCTGGAGAAGGCCACGTTGAGCTGGGTGAGGAAGCCATCCTTGTGGAACTGTGCCAGCTCCTCACGGTACAGGTAGTCCTCATCAGACCGGCGGCAGCCATAGTATAGTAGCGTCTCCCCCACCTCCTTGCCTGGGGCGGCACGGGGCCACGGTCAGTGAAGAACCCCAACCCATCCTAACCCGTCCCTGAAATGCACTCACCCTGCTGTCGCAGCCAGGCCCGCTCCTGGATGAAGCCCATGAAGGGGGCAATCCCCGTGCCGGGGCCGATCATGATGACAGGGGTGGTGGCCTTGAAGGGCAGGCGGAACTGGGACTTGCGCACGAACATGGGGACCAGGGCCCGGCGCCCGTTCTCCCCAGCAGGGTCCTTGGCACGTAGCCAGCTGGTGGCCACACCCTTGTTGATGCGGCCAGCCTTGGTTTCATACTCCACAGCCACAGCGCAGATGTGCACAGAGTTGGGATGGACCTAGACGGAGGTGCCAGTGAGCTCAGCAGCTGCGCCTAGGCCCCTTGCCCCTCTGCCACCCAGCCTGGTTACTCAAGCCGGAGGGCACAGGGATCCTTGCTCAGGGCCCCTTCACACCCCCCAAGGACCCTCAGGGGTCCCTTTCCAGCAGCTGTCCAGACAGCTGCTCACCGTGGGGTGTGAGAACAGTTTAGTGTACTGTCCAGCCTGCTGGATTCGTGGCCTATACAGTCTTATGTGAACTGCCCTGGACATCGGAGCAGAGCTGGGGCTGAGGCTCAGGGCTCCAATGCACCTCCAGAGCTCACACTGTACCTTCTAAGGGGGCCAGGCTTCAAACCTAGGGTCAGCAGCCCCCAACCAGGAAGACACCACTCCAGAGGACGTCCCACCTTAGAAGACGAGGCGATGGAGTAGTAGCGGGCCTGGAGGCGAGGCAGCAGCTCACACAGGTGGTCGATGGGGGGCCGCAGGGACTGGTAGTCCTGCAGGATGGCCAGGATGTGCCTCCGGGCCTCTACCACCCAGTTCAGGTACAGCTCCTGGAAAGACCCAGAACGTGGGGTAAGCTTGGGTGAGGGGACGCTGGGGCCAAGGCTGAATATTGCCCAAGGAGTTTGAAGAATGGTGGCAGGGGTGCTGGCTGGGAGCTGCCCCAAAGCTGGGGTGGTGGCAGTCTGGGTGCAAACTCACCTTGCCCTCGCCAGAGGAGGAGGCCATCTTGCGCAGGTGTTCCTGCTCCGAGGGCTCCGTGGCATACTGAGCCAGCTCGTAGAGCACGTTGGTGCGTGGTGGATTGGTGATGTCCAGGTAGTAGGTGAGGGCCGTACGGTAGGTAGTGGGGCAGGGGAAGGGGTGCTTCTTGTTGGACTCCTCTGCAAGGAAAGGGAAGGCAGGATTTGGGGAGAGTGGCCACCCCCTGTGCATGGTGGGGAAGCCTCAGGCCTGCTCCACAGGAAGCAGGGGTCCCGGCTGGGGCTGGAGAAAGCAGCTCCTCTGGTCCTTCCTCATCAACCTCCTCAGAGGTGGGGTTGCCTGGCACTCACTTGCTCTAAATCTGAGAGAATCTGAGCTCCCCAGGAACCCCTTTGCCTGCAAAATGCTGTTCAGAGAGAGGGGCTGAGACAGAGCTCCCCAAGTATGTCCTACCTGTGGGCTGGGTGCCCAGACTCAGCGTGAATTCCAGGTCAGTTTTAGTGCCTGGTCCCATGTGGAGGCCAATGCTCAGTGCCCATGGGGGTGTCCAGGAGTGCTCTTGGCATGGAGCCCTGCACTTCCCAGGCACTGCTCCTGCCCATCTTTGCTGGGACCTTCTGCTGCACTGGTCACCAGGACACGTACTGAGCCCTCCTGCAATGTGGCAGGACCTGACCCTTGCCTGCGAAGGGTAGCAGAGCAGGAAGCAGCCAGGGGCTGGGCAGAGTGGCACTCCACCTCTCAGGTGTGACTGTGGCTTATGTATTCCTGGGCACAAACAGCCAGGAGGGCTGCTGGGGCCCCGGGAAGAGGGTCTGGAACAGAGGCTCGGTGTTGGGGTTTTGAACTTAACGGAGACGTCAGTTGGTCTGACAAACTATACTTGCGTACAAGTTATACTAGATGTCATCTGGTAGTTTGATGGATTTGCATGAACAGAACACACCTGTGGGTCCAGCATCCCAGAGCCTCCTTGTGTTAGGCCTAGAAACCAGGCCTTGCACCTCACACTACTGGCCATGCAAGCTTGTCTTTTCTGAAGCTACACGTCTCTGAGCAGTGTGGGCAGCAAAGGGCAGCCCGCAGGGCTGAGTCTCCTGGTGTAGGGCAGCGGGGACAGCAAGGGGCACCCCTGAAGGCACAAGGCCTGTGCTTCCCAGAGTGAGAGGGCACTACGGCCGGCAGGACGACTTCTGACGTAAACCGGCTCCTGTTCGTGTTGTTCCCTCAAGGGCTGACTGGAACTAAGGAGAAGGAGCAGCCCATGTGAGGTTCCCAGAGGACAGAGTGAGGCAGGTTGGTGGGACGGGGAGCATGGGGCTCACGGTGAGAGGCTCAGGCAGAGAGCCCCACCTCCACCATGGTTAGGGCCCCCTGCACTCTGAACCCCGGATGTACCCAGAGCACTGGTAGGGTTGCATCTTACCGGAGAGGAGAGAAAGGCCCTGGAGCAAGGAGAGGGCAGCCCCAGGCCTCAGAGGCCCCTCCTGGTGGAGCCAGGCCTGGGACCAGAGCCCCAGCCTGCAGCTCCCTCAGCCCGTAAGGTGCTGTGCTAGTGAGGCGTGGGGGGCCCAAGGGAGAGGCCTGGATCTTACAGCTACTTTCACTTCTTGCCCCAAATTTGCTCCAGAACTTGTAGCCATGGCGTTTGGGGTGGGAGGGCATCTCAGGCACCAGGCTTTGGGCCTACGCAGAAACTCGCTGACTGTTCTTGCCAAGAGGCCAAAGCTGGGTCAGGAGGCTGGAGGGACAGTGGCCTTGTGTCCAGGACTCACCATCGAGATTGTTCAGGGACATGACAACATCCAGGTCGGCACCCAGGATCTCGCCAAGCTGGTTGACCAGTGCAGAGTCATTAGCTGGGTAAACAGCCACATGGTCCCCAGATTCATACCTAGAGGGCAGGAGACGCAAGCTCAGGAAGAGGGTGGACAGCCTGCACTACCTACGGGTCAGGAGGCTCTGAGTGAGGGTTTGGGGAGGGGTGCCGTGGCTGGTACCTGATTTTGGAATCTGAGATGTCTAATTCCAGGTGCATGAGGTGTCGCTCAGTTCCCTGGTTCAGCTTCCGGTTGGTGGTGACTGCAGCCAAGAATGGATTCTTGGCGTCAAAGGGGCTGGTGGGGAAGAGAACTGTTCAGGGTTGGCCAGGTCTTCAGTCCGGACCGCCCTACCCCCAGGGGACCTTCTGGTTACACAACGCACAGGGAGCCACAGAGCTGTGCTCCGCGGCCCAGGGAACGTCTGAACCACAGAAAGGCTCTCCCAGCCCAGTCCAAGGTGGTGCTCCCAAAAGAGCCACAAGGGGACTTTCCTGAATGACTCTAGCTGGAGTCCGGACAGCACCCCAGCAAAGCAGGCAGGGGCCCGACAGAAACAGTGTTTTTGGACAGAAAGTCCAAACACTGAGGCCAATTTTAAAGGAATTGAGCCCTTTTGTCAAAGTTCAACCTAGACCCAGAGTCAAACTTACAATACCGTGGTCCATGAACTGGAGTTACCCTGGCCCAAGGCATTTGCAGAGCAAAGTGTCGGGGCCAACTGAGTATCACCTGAGCAGGTGCCAGTCTTCCCAAGGCTGTGTCCTGGACTACAGGCCTGCCCCTCCCCCCACTCTGGGCCTTGAACTTTCCTGTAACAGTGGAGATGAAAATATGGGTGCCCCCACTGGCGCCCACTGGCAAGGAAGCCTGAGGGATGGGGCCTGCAGAGACCAGGCTGCCAGCTGTCTGCTGCCTTCAGGCCTCGGGACACAGGGCTGTCATGCACTCTACTCACGGCTTCTGGTTCTCATAGCTCTTCAGACGGCCCATTTCACCCATGTACACCTTGGCCATGTCTATGTCCTTGTGGATCACAAGCTCATACTGGCGAATGCTGGAAAGGGGAGATAGCATGAGGCCGGGGCGAGGAAGTGAGAGTGGGCCCCCAGGGAGAAGGGTGGCCGCCCCAGGCAGGGTAACTGAGGAGACAAAGGGGGACGTGGAAGAACACAAGGAGGGGGAGCAGGTGGGCACCCTGGGCAGGGGGGTTAAGTAGGTGGGGCCAGGCCACTTTGAGAGCAACGGGTGGCACTATAGCTGGGTGCCAAGCTGTTGCCCTATGCCTAGGGCAGCCTTAAGCATCTTAGCTGAGACCTGTGCTTCTCCTGCACTTTGAGCTCAGCCAGCCTGTCATCCCCATGGCCATTGCACAGGGCCAGAACTCCACCCTTGAGAGGTGCTCCCAATGCCGCCCACCCCATCTTCGGGCACACCTCACCTAGACTCCTCTCCAGTCGCTTCCACCCCAAAGTGTTCGCACACTGCCGGCCAGAACTGCTCTCGCCAAGTGATGAAATCCTCTTCCAGGCTGGGGAGAGGAGGGAGTGAGCCAGAACCAGGGAGCCCAAGGGGGCCACAAGATCCACTAGGTGTAGACCAACAGCCTAGGCACGAGATGGGCTGCCAGACCAGCTTGGAGCTCTCCCCTGGCACCCTCCCCAAGCCCTAGTGCTCATTTCATGTTGGCCTACTCAGTGAGGTCAGCCCAAGGCATCAGGAAGGCTCTAGAATGTCTATACTAACCATAGGAGGGACTATCTGAGCTGGCCAGCTGCAAGGGTGTAGACGGACAGAGGTTTGCTCAGGAGGAGCAACTCCCCCCAGCCCTGGTGGTGCCTGTCACAGAGGTCCAGTACACACATGGCTTCACTCCCCTCCTGACACATGAAAGCCGGGACCGGGTCCGGAAGGTGGCCTGAGTCCCGGGGTTGGTTGGGACACTTACTTCCCATCATCGTCACCCATCCCCAGCTCAAAGATCCGCTGGGCGCCGAGCTGTTCCAGCCGCTTGTCTACATACTTGCCCATGGCATTGAAGTGCTCATAGGTCTTGTTCCCAAGGCCAAACACCTGCATGGAAAAGGTGGGTCTGAGACCAGCCCAGGGAGTGGGCTTCCTGCAGTGCTGGCCCAGCCACTGGACAGCATCCTTGGTCCTCTACCCGTCAGATGCTGAAAGCCACGAGGAGCAGCTGGCCACTGCTGCCCCTGGAAGTGGCTCTGTTAGGTGGCCTGTAGCCCAGGACCCCCTCCACACCAGCCTCTGACCTGCTGGCTACCCACCCAGTGGAACAGCACCTGACCTGTCCATATTTCTTGCCTCATCTTTGGCAAGAAGTTTCCCCTGGAGCAGGTGGGGTTGGGGTCATAGGAGAAATAGCTCTCAGTGCTGGGGCCCAGGCAAGAGCAGGTCCCCTCATGAACACCTCTCTTGGGGTTCCTTGCCAGACTGCAGTCAATACCTCTTGCTGACCTGGCTACTCAGCATGAGGAGAGCAGGAGTCCTTCCCTAGAGCCCCAGGGGAAGGCACCACAGGCTGCCACGAGCCCATGAGAAGCTACTGGGAGAAGACAGGGTGACTCACCGCATACTTGACCCCAGAGAGATCTACATCTGCCTCCTGGAGCCAGTCATAGAAGTCCTGGGCGTTGTCGGTGGGATCCCCCTCGCCGTAGGTGGCCATACAGAACACGGCCAGCGAGTTGTCTATCTGTGGGAGGCTGCTCAGGTCAGCCTGAAGAGACAAGGACAGCCCACTTGCTGACTACGATCGTGGCAGGAGGTCAGGTCTGAGCAGATGGGATGCCCTGCCTCAGGCAGCTGCTAACCAGGGAATGGCAGGTGTGGTGGGGCAGAGGGAACAACTCCACCTGTCTGGGAGGTGCACAGTGGGGCTGGCAGTCAAACTCGGGGAGCAGGACAGTTAGGTTCAAGTGGCTGGGGATGTGTTCCAAGAGTAAGGAACAGCAGCATGAAGTGCACAGGCTGGGATCCCGGCCACTAGGTGGCACTCAAAACGTGGCTCCTCTGCTGTGGCCTCCCATCTCCTCACTAATTCTGACAACTGCTCGCAGACTCAAAGCCCAGGTCTGGAGAGGGATGGGTGGCCGTGGGGGATGGTGTGGATAGGGGGGCAGGGGGGGACAGGACAGTTTGGGAGATGGCATGGCAGGTGAGGAAGGAGCTGGCGCTTGGGAGTCAGTCGTTCAGAGGAAGAATATGGGGCTGGTTGGAGCCGTAAGAACAGCAAGGCAAACTCAGGTCTCAGGAGGTGGGGAGGGAGCTCTCTGGGGGGTTCTTCCCAGCACCACCTGCACCCTACCGGCCTTTTCCCCTCCTGGGTGTCAGTTCACTGCCTCCACCTGGGGCCCTGGCCTAGCTGTCCGGACCCAGAAACAGGCAAGCTGATTGCCGGACATTCCTAGCAGAATGAGCAAGATGGGCCTGGGGGAGCAAGGAGCGTGACTGTCCACACAGCCCTTGGACAGGGTCGGGATGTTGAGACCGGGTCTTGCAGATAGTTTCTCAGTGCCCCACAGAGCAACTGTAAAGAACAGTTGGGAGGAAGAGGGGCAGGGGGTCCTCCAGCAAAGAGGGGCCTTCGCCAGTTTTCAAGCTCTCTGGTAGCCCCTCACCTCTCCCAGCTATCTTCTTCCCATGGGTCCTGTCCCTTCCACCCAACCCCTGCTCTGGCCCAGACCAGAGGTAATAAAAGCCTGTTTCAGAGCCTGGCTGAAGGGTTCCTGAAGATGATTCATCCTCCCCTGTGACAGGAAAGGCGCTGACCCAGAGTTCAGCAGGTGGGCAGAGACCTAGTGCCCTGGCTCTCTTGCCACTGCAACTTGAGGTGGGGCAGAAAGAGAGCAGAGTTCCTTCCCTGCTCTGTGAGACCGTTCTGAGCCACACCCAATCCCTTTGTTCTTTCTGCTGGACCTGTCCAGCCCTGGTGGAGCCCACAGCATAGGGGCACAGAAGTCCAGTGTGAGCAGTGCTGTGGTTCATCTGGGCACCTGGCTACCAGGACAAATGACAGGAGAAGCCCATTCCTGTCTGTCCTTTTGGCAACTCAGCCCTTAAAGCATCCCCAGGATTAAGACACGTCTTCCTTATGCTGCTGGAAGAGCCAGGAAGAAGGGGCCAGGTGAAAGCTCACCAAGTCATACTCCTCAGGGTCTGCGGCCAGGCCCCGCATCCCATAGCGGTGGGCGTCCTTTGATAAGCGATTGGCAAACTCTTCAGCAGTTCCTGTCTGAGAGCCGTAGAATACGACGATATTCCTGCCCTAGGGAAGGCCAGACACAAGGAGTCAGTAAAGGGCCAATTCACTGGGGGGGTTACAGAGGACATGGGAATCCTCTTTCCTTTCTGCTTTAGGTTATTTCTAAGTCACTGTGGGGCTAGCATCTCACAGCACTAATGACTACAGCCATCAAGGTAATCTTACATGCTGCCCAAGGTCACTTTTGGCAGACAATGACACTTGAAAATGTAACAAATTATTCAGTAACCAAACAGTATGTAAAGTGTTGTCCAATTTTGTTACAGGTATTATGTTTTGTTTTGTTTTGTTTTTTAAAAGATTTTTTTACTCAGGAGAGGTCTGCCGCGCCATGTGGGATACCTCCCTGGCCTGGGATCGAACTCATGAAGTGGCTGCTTCTCATGTCATAGTGCTGTGCTTTTAAACCTGTTGCACCACCAGGGAAGGCCCAGGTGTTAATGTGTTTTTTAATAAACATACCTGCACAAAGAAAAAAGACTGACAAGAAAGGAATACACCAAGAATCTCTAAATGGGGATTTAGGGGTCTGTTTTTCTAGATGATCTACAAGTGAGAGGTATTCATTATAAAAACCTAGACAACAGGGAAAAGTACTATGGAACAGCTTACTCTTGATAGTGTTCTGTGCCTTTTACAGCAGCTACTGAAAAGCACAAACTCTATTCCATGGACTCCCTTGCAGCTAGGGATTGCAGGAAGCTAGGATGTGCTTGCAAAACCTGCAGGTGAGCCTTTCAACAGGCCACCTTCTAGCCTCTTCCCCAGACATGCAGCTTCTCTGCAGTGGTGGCCCAGCACCCAGCCCCCAGAACAGTCTCTGAGTTTTGCATTGAGCACTAGCTGATACAGGTACCCAGAACTAAGGAAAACATGGATTACAATTAAAGTATTCTCATACTTCCTAGACTTCATGAATTTTCTACAAATTGTTTTTAAATCATCCCCCCCCCAAAAAAAAACGTATTTTAAATAATCGCCCTTACTACTTCATAAAGGGGGGGAAATGCTAAAGAAACCAGGTTAAAGGTATAAATTAAGATTATAAAATAATAGTTAAAAATTTATAGTAGCATTAAAAAAAATAAACTTTATAAGGAAACACTCAAGACACTACCTAGTGATAAAGGACTCAACCAGAAAGGCACACTGATTTTCATAGGAAGGAAGACTCAACATACGAGAAGCCAGTTCTCCTTGTATTACAGAGATGTAATATGATCCTAAGAAAGATCTGAACTGTTTTTTTCTCCTCAACAAACTGATCCTAAAAGTCAGGGGGAAAAAAAAGTATGTGAAAAGTATGACTCCATACACCAGAACATTAACCTGGCGACAAAAAGGAGAAGCACTGGTCACACTGTAAGATGGATGAACCCTCGACACACCAGGCTCAGCGACACAGAAGGCCACAAAGCGGACGAGCCGTCTCTGGGACCCAGGCAGACAAAAGGCAGAATGGGAGGGGGTCGCTAGTGGGTGCAGGTGACGCGACGTCCTAGGCTGGCTGTGGTGATAGGTTATGGGCTGCTACAACTATGCAAAAAAGTGCTGAAATGCACATCCCTGAGCATATACTGTACGGTATGTGAATTTTATCTCAAAAAAAGGTGTTACCCCTAGTCACTAGACACAAAGGAAATACCAGCCAGGACAAGTGCAGAGTGAGAGCTCTGGGAGGGCATGGGGCAGTGCCCGGTTCTGCTGGAGAATGATGAATGTAAAAGCCTAGGAAGTAAAACAGCGTAATCTGCGTGCAGCAGCTGCCCACACATCAGAGTAGGAGAATATGGAGAGAGGCCCAAGCACACGTGTGAAAGGGGTGTGAGGAAGCCGGGGGTGGGGGGTGTTGTTGGGGAAGGGCCGAGTCAGCACAGGGACATGGGACAGTTACACAACAGGACAGCCACGCACCACACCTCACATCTCACACCAGGGTAAACTGAAAAATCCAACTTTAAATATGGAAAAGGAGACTGGAGAAAACACAGAATTCCTCTCCTGAATGAAGAGCACCTTTCCAAAGGTGACTCAAAGTCCAGGAGTCATAAAAGAAATCATAGGATGGACTGTGAGACTTTTTACATGGCCCAGCAAACATGATAAGCTCAGTCAAAGGACAAACTATTAACTAGGAAGCTACTTTTATTTCCTATCACAGATGAGGACTCAATCTCCCAAATAATTTTAAGGAGTTCCTCAATTTGAATGAAGAATCCATTAAAAAAAAAATGCCATGGTAACACGATAGTCTGCTTCCCCTCACATCCATTAAAACACACACACACACACACACACACACACACAGAACTACAAAGAGATGCCGTTTTTAAATCCAGAGAGCGGGCCAGATGTTAGACTTTGGAAACAGACTGCCGGCAAAGCAGCTTCTCGCACTGCATGTATGCCCTGGCGTGGCCCTGCCAGGAGTCTCCCACCTCGCCTCAGATGCGAGCACCTCACGATGGAGAACGCCTGGCCGGCACCGCACCTGTAAGCAGACAGCAACCTACGTGCTCACGGCAGCACTGTTTCAAGAGCTACGTAGGCGTGCAGGCGTGGCTAACATGCAGCCCACAGGGTGAGGCGGGGTCTCTGCGTGGCTGTGGGAGGCTCTCCCAGACATAGCATTAAGTACGAATCACCAAGGTCTTTAAAAGCGTGCGATACAGGGGTATAGGAGTGTACACGCACAGTAACATGGCACCTTTTGTGTTTTAGAAAAGTGTAGCATGACATTTGTATTCGTCTTTGTTTGCATGGGCATAAGGAGGCTCTAGTACGAGCTGCCAAACACCAAAAACAGCAGTGAGGAGTGTCAGGACCAGGCGAAAGGCTTTCCTTGGACGTTTCTTCTTATTGTGACCACTGCAATGGGTCCCTTGCCGTAAAACTGATTGCTGAGACCAGCATACCGCGCCTGAAGAGCCAAAGCAGTGCCGTGGGCAGCTGGCCTGGGTGGGAGGGTCACTTCGTACAGCCTGGTTTGTTCAAGCAGGAAATACTTAAAAAAGGAGAGAGCGTGTCTCGGCAACAGCAGGGGAGCTCGGGCTCTGGACAGACTGGAATGGGGGTGCCCGGGCCATGTCCCCTCGCCGCCTCCTGTCCAGGAGAGCTGGCCTCGCCCGGGCGCCCCTGCATCCACCCAGCCAAGACTTGCTGGGAAAGCACAGACAAGAGAGAAAACTCACCGTCTTCTTCATCTTTTCCACAAAACTGCTGTCTTTCACTGATGAGGTCCTGAAAAACAAAAGCGCCAGTGGGCACGGGTGCGTGGGGATGCCCCAGGTCATGGGGACCCCGTCGCAGCTGCCTCTGCTCCAACATTTCCAAATTTGGATGTTTCCATGTGATTTTTATAACTAAAAAGTCGATTTTATTGTTTAGAAAGGGGGGCAGCTCAAGGTTCTAGAACAGGAAGAGACTGGAATACAGCTGTGACGGCCGGGTGGGGAGGCGCCTTCAAGACAACACGGATGCGCGCCTGCCCTCCCCGAAAGGAGGTCGGGAGGAGAATCACAGAGATGCCGGGCTGTCCTCTCCTAGGGCTGCACAGCTGGTTGTGTTGCGGTTTCTGTGGTTTGTTTTTGCTAATTTTTATCCCCACTCCCACACGGTCTTTCTCCTACAGCGAACACACAGGGCTATTGTCATCAGATTGTAAAATCTACTTTTTATGTTAAGAAATGTGGTATATGGCTTCTGATAGACTGATTCTGAAGGCCCTAACAAGGATGTAATAGCAAACCTTGAGCAAAGGGAGCTGAGTCAGCAAATACATCCTGAAGGAGAGGGTGGGGAACGCCTACCACGGTGTCCCTCCCCCAAGTGTGGCCCGCCAGTGCCCTCGCCCACAATGTCCTTCCCTCTTTTCCACAAACTCTTACTATTCCTCAGTGTAAAAGATCCTTGGCAGAGCACCTCCCCCTGCCCCCAAAAGTAGGCGCCCTCTTCAAGGTGCCCACACCTCCATCCAGATGCCAGCTCAATGGGTGTGCCCACTGGCTCCTGACTCTTCTCAAAGGTCCAAGAAGCTCCAGCTGGAGAAGGTGGAGATGTCTCTAGACCTGCTGAAGCGGCAGGGGACACAGGCACCTCCCATGAGTGCCAGGCCGCTGGCCTCCAGCCACGGACCAAGCGTGCAGCCCGGGTGGGCGGGCACTGGGCCAACTCAAGGACGGTGACTAAGCCAGGCGATCTTTGCCTCCCAGGGCTGAGGGCCTGGATGGAAAAGATGAGCCCTAAGGACAGCAGTGGCAGTGGGAGAGGCCACACACCAGCAGCAGGTGCTTGGGGTCAAATCCCGGTTCTGCCACCAAGGTGGGCTGTGACTGGGCAAGCACTAGCTGCTCCTGAGGCCTCAAGCTCTGCTCTCTGACAACCCCACATCTCGACCTCTGCAGTCTCCCCAGGGCACCTGAAACCTGGTAGGCGCTGAAGGACAAAGGGGTGTTCTCTAGAAGAACAAAGGTGTTCGGCCACTCTGACTTCACAGGCGGCTGGTGGCACCGGGTAGTGTGTGCTAAGACCAATGGATGGGTCCAAAGAAACCAGGAAAGGCCTCTCAGAAGAGCCTTGATTCTGAAACAGGAAAGAGCTCCCAAGAAGAAAAGTATGGGAACCAGGCATTGAGGGGCTTCTGGGTGGGGCGCCCACCCAGCAGTCAGGGGTGCATGTGGGAGGTGGCCTTGGGGTGGCTTCCTGAGGCAGCTGCCAGAGCAGGTACCCCAGGCTGATGGCCCTGGGCGGAGGTGGAGGCCTCTGGTCATGTCCAGGTGGAACGTCAGAGGGCGAACATGGCACTGCCCTCCCAGCCCCAAAGTTAGGGTCCCCCCAAAAAGCATGGGTACTTCTTAAGGGAGTCCCTTCATAGCTTCAGGCCCTGGGGCAGGGAAGGACGCTCCCACTCTCTTCCAGGGGCTTCAGGGGTAGTTTCCAAATATCCCTGGTAGACTGGGGTCCGTGAGGGAGAAAAGGGAAGCTCTAGGAGAGGTGGGTCTTCAGTCACTGTCCCAACACACTGCTGCTGCCTGAGGTCCCTACGGAGAGAGCAGGAACCCGCCTCCCTACCCACACAGCTGGGGGGGATCGCCCGCACACATGGGCTGGCCTTCTCCGCCACGGCCTCATGCTGGCGCCTGCACACAGCTCACTTTTGCAGGGTAGAGTCGGGGAACGGGACCTTCTGGGTGTCAGCAGCATCCGTGCCCGGCTGATTCCCCAGGACCATCCCAACTCTGCTGGTCAGCTCCCCTCAGCACCCTCTTCCTGCCTCTAGGGCACCCCTGCCAGGAAAGCAGCTCTGTCCACTAGGGCATGGTACCAGGCGTCCCCTTGCCCAAGGGACTAGAGCAGTCTAACAGGGACACTGTCTGGAACTGACCTTCTCGGTGTGGGCTCGTCCCGCGGAGATGAGTACATGCACCCCATGGTTTCTCACTTCCCATTCCAGGACTCAGGGGGAAAGGCAGGTCGTGGCTCTCTCTGGGGGCCAGCGGCTGCCAAGCCCTATTCCATCCATGCCTCTGCGGGGCCCTGGGGCTGTTCTCTCTGATGGCGCCCCGGCTCCTGGTCCCCCAGCGCCCTCGGAACTCCCGCCGAGCCCTGCCTGCATCTGTGGCCTCCAGCCTGAGAATGCGGCAACATCTGGCAGTTCCAGCAGAAGGATTCGGGGCTCGAGGCTGAAACCTCCCGTGATTCTCTGCGTTCGGCACATACCCCTCCTCCCTCTGTATGGACCAAGGGAAGGAGAAAACCTTTCTGAGCCCAAATCGGATCTCCTTGGTAACTGTTTATATCAAAGCGCTTGTTCCCCACATCCTCCCTTTTTCCCATAAAAGAAAAAGGAAGTCCTGTGGGCTGAATGAAGCTCCTCTAGACACCAGAAGGCAGTTGTGCAGGTTGCTATGGCAGGGCTGCTTCTCCATAAAGGAAGCTGCATTGATCCCGAGGCCATAGCATCTGAGGATCATATTGAATTAGATCTGCTTCCCCTCTCCCTCCCTACAAAGAGCTGAGGGCAAGAGACCCCACGGCCCTGGGACCTGTGCTGGGCTGTGTCATCGGGAGCACGCTGCAGCCGTGAGGCCAGCGTGCCTCATCCCTCTGCTACGCAGTGGGGGCGGGGGACACACTGCACGGCTGCTGAGACGTTACCTTCAGGTGCACCCTCCAAAGGCAGCCCGGGCCAAAGAGCCCGTCAGCAGTTGCCAGGCGTGGAGCCCAGACACCATGCAGCTCCGGAATGGAGCACGGGAGGCCCCAGCCAGAGCTCTTCCCTCCTAAATTGGGAGCAGGAGTCTCTCTCGGGTGAGGTTTAAGTCAGCTGCAGTCCCCATGTGGGGAGGCCGCCAGGGAGGGGGACAAAAGCACTGAGTCACTTGGATAGACATGAACCAAGATGCCCTGGGTGATTCATTTATTTCTAGTTCCAGGCAACACTCAGGACTTCTGAAAACTGCAACCCAAACTTAATGTTATGCACAGCAGAACTGATTTCTTCTGGAACTCCCCACATCTCTGGGGAGGTCGGGAGGGGGGACAGCTGCTTTTGAAGGGCTCCTTCCAGAGTGGAGCAGGGGGCGGCACCTTCCCCAATGCCCAGGTAACAGGCACCCAGGTGAGAGGGGGAACAGCAGCTGAGACTCACACTCCACTCACAGAGCCAGGGGCAGGCTTGAGAGTGCTACCCCGGGAAGGGGGTGCCGGTGCCGGGAAGGGGGTACCGTGAGGAGTGCTGGAATTTCCCTTCCAAGGGGGAGGCAGTCCCAGAGCCTCGGCAGAAAGCACGTGGTCTGGAAGCACTGCCTTGGGTGCAAACAGAAAGCGGCTCACTGGAGGCTAAATGAGAACTGCAGCTCTCTCCACCAACAGGCCAGGGGAGCCGGAGGAAAGAACTGCTCTTCCTGCCATGACAGTTGCCTCTGGCAGATGGAAGGTCAAAGCAGGGGTGGGAGTTCACGGTCAAACAGAACAGGGAGTGGGAGCCACTGTGCAGCGAGGGCCTGCTGCGAGCTAGCTTGTGTCGGGAGCTAAGCCTCCCACCCTGCGAAGGAGACAAGGATTTCTAGCCCCTTTGACAGGTCAAGAGATGAGATGCGAGGGAAGTGGAAACGCAAGTCCAGACCTGCGGAGTCTGCCGTGGCCGGCACCCGGGTTTATGCCCATGCCGCTGGCGAGGCTGCATCCGCCCTCCGCTCCGTGTCAGCAGAGCTCAGCCTGCATGAGTCTCTGGGGAGGCTCCAGGCACACTCAGAAGGCGCAGAAGGCCTGGGGACTGTTGGGCCTGGTCATGAGGGTGCTCTGAGCTCACGTGGGCTGTGTGGTGGGCACCCTGCCCCGGAACAGCAGTTAGGGTCGGGCTCAGGCACGGTGCCGCTGTCCTCACACCACAGGGCACTCTCTGGCCTCTCCTGGTCCTAGAGACTCGCAAAGGGACACAGGGCCGGCGTCCTGGGCCAACAGGATGTCCCGGGTCTTGCTGGTACAGCAGACATCTGTCAGAACTCATCAGAGCTTACACTTTGAAAAAGAGAACCTCATTTGCTGCTTGTAAGTTAGACCTCAATCTACCCGAGAGAGAGGGGCAGAGAAGCAGCGAGGCAAGATTCAGCAGTCAGGAGCAGAGTCTGGTTTGCGGAGAGGCTGCAGACACCAACAAAGGCTGTGGTGGCTCCGGCTGCCGGGGCTTGCAGGAGGGTGAGGATGGCGCTGTGTTCCGTTTAAAAAAGGGAGCCTGAATTTTAGAGGGGATACTGCCATACACGCCTCAGATTTCAGAAGAGGGCAGATGAGATGGGTTAACTTTTCTGGGCTCTGTGCTTTGGTGGCTGAAATGTTGCATAATGAAAAGCTCTGTTTTTCTTTAAAGCACTTTCCAGCTTCACAGAGAAGCAGAGGTTATGCTGGGGTGGGGCACTGCCAAGCCTCTGGGGGGGCCTAGCCTGTGGGGGTGCTGTGGCACAGGCACCCTCCCCCCACCCCAAGCAAGGCCCTTCTGGGGTCCGCCACTGAGGGCAGCATCCCTGGGGTGGCCAGATACTTACTTTCTTTCTTTTTTATCAAAACATGTTACATGTCTGGGTTTTTATGTGAAACAGTCAGACACTTTCAATGTTTTAATTTAAAAATATGCACTATTGCTGGTGGGAATGCAAACTAGTACAACCACTATGGAAAACTGTCTGGAGGTTCCTCAAGCTGCTAAACATGGAGCTTCCTTACGACCCAGCAATCCCACT